GCAGTTGTTCTAATCCATTCCTAAGCCAGCTTCCTTGCGAGTACGCAGTCAAAGCGAGTTGTTTTACGATATCTTGCTATTAGTAGCCGTACGGAGCGTCAGAGCGGGTTACGGTAAGGATTTGGGTCCGTGACGAATTTTCATGGCAATGGTCCCCACCGGAATACCTGTGTAGCATTGGTGTTGACGGTATTTTTTCTATGTGTAGTTATTGAAGGGATGCTAAGAGCGTGCGCGCAACCAGCCAGGGTGTCCAGCTGACTGCCTCACCTCATTGATTTCGGTCTCTCGACGACTGCAGTTTATTCGACAGCAACGCTCCATTCCTAACACGACGAGGTGTTCACCCCTCATCCTCCCATCGTGTCTTCAACAGCAATCAACATCATACTTGGGAAAAATAGCCTACCTGAGATGAAGGTCATATGCAAAGAAACTCATTTCGAATGTTATTGATTCAAATCTACCAGTGTTTTCGATTTACGAGAAGGAAATCTGAGAAATACACAGGATTGTAGTCTGTATTTCTCAGTGAGCGCCCCAGTAAGTGCTGCTCCTGAGCCATTTTGGTAGGCTGGTAATTCAACTTGTTTTTTTTTNTTTTTTTTTTGTAGTAGCGGTTTGGGTAAAATCACTCAAATTTTTCGACTAGGGGCAAGCATTTTCTTAAAACAAAGGCTACAATTAGAGGGTCGCTCCAATCCAGTTCTTTTTAGCAGGGATTACAAATGGAGCCAATGGTTTATATGGGTATTAGATTCCATTATAAATTTATGGAAGGCTTACGACTATGACGTACCAGTTAGTAGCTACTTGACAGTAAAAACTCGTCGTGATTAAGGTTTACGACCAAAAGCTAATCTGCATGAAAAGTTTGCCCTCAGAGCAGGTAGACATTTCCTTAAGTCGGCTACAACACACCAGATACCCTTTGCCAAGTCGAATTCTAACATAGCCATTGCGCTACTGTAGTCGGAAAGTCCGCGGGTTTGATGGGGCTGACTACCCTATTAAGATATTCTTGTCGTTATTTCTAGCAATTCGATAGATTTTATTGATTTGACTTGATGTTTTTGTTAACTGCTGTCCTTTCACCATAGTACGCAATGCGAAGGTAAGAACATGTAAGGGGTTCGAGGGTTCGAGTCCCGCCCGAGACTGCAGTTTCGCCCATAACTCGCCAATCTTCTGGGAGATTTTATTGATGTTCGCATTCGGTTTTGAATAGCCAAGGGCCAAGGGTGCAAAGTTTTTCTTTCGGATGGGTGCTTTTTTTGAACGTAATGCACTTGCAATTGCAATTGCAATTGGAGGCGACCGAAGAGGTTCAGAGTAACGTTTTTATTTTCTTCAACCCTTTCAAAACTGTTCCTCCAAAACCTGACACAATTCCCCCAGGGAAATTTTACTGGGATTCCTGGTGGTTTCCGTGCCACTTGTTGCTATGAGAACCAGAAAAAATAGCTGCACCGAGCGTCCTCGTTCATCGATTGCTCATGGAATCGTCTAGAAAGCATCATCTTTCCCCCTCCCTCAGTTTTCCTTCATGCGATTCATTGCCCTTTTCCAAGATATCACTCATAGTTGTCGGGGCTACATAAGAAGTTGTAATGAAGTAAAATTAAATCACCCAGATGTAGTGTGGGTGAGGAAGCTGGAGGGGGCGAAAAGAGGCAAATTTGCACGTGCAGTTGCGTTTCTTCAGCGAAATTGAAAAAAAACAAATTATCTTTTTGCTTGACTGTCAGGCAATCGCGGCAGGACCGAGTAGCGCGTACAGATAGTATACCTGTTCGTTAGTTCCCGTTTTTTCCATCGTGTTTTCTTCATTTCTTTTTTCCTAAGTTTGTGTTGTAGAGCTATTAAACATATTGACCATGTACGGTACAAACCAGTATTAGATTGGTAATCGCTTTTTTCCACCCATTAAACTGGACATTCAATCGTTGCGACCACTAATGGCTACCAACTAGTTTGTGGTGGCCACTAGCACCAGTACGTACCAGTTTCCACTCAAAATCATGCCCAACTAAAAGCCATTTCAAGTCGCTGTCAGAAGCCGTTTGGGAAAGTTGTCTAGTCAACTCAGTCTTGTATCAGCATCAAGATCGAGCCTGGTTTAGATCGTTCGAGAACAGGGACAGAGCAGACGTGGCGGCGCCCGATTGGCGTGCGGACACTCCCATCGCCGTCGTCGCTGACCCTTCTCGATAAATCCATCCCAACCACATGTTCACTTCGTCGTCGTATCCTTCGAAGAGCGGTCTCATTGGGAATGTACAATGCGCATCTATGTCGCTTCAAACTAAAAACGTGCTTAGGACATTTGTGTCGAATGAAGGACATCCTTCGTCTGAAAGCTTCTCTTGTAAACAAGAATCTGCTTTATGGCGTTGTTCAACGTCGAGGATTCCCATAGACCAGCTCCTTTCCTTACCAATCTGAAATTGTTTAGGATTTCAAAATTTAAGTTTGCAACTGATGGCACGGCAAGGAAAGGTAGCTTCTTTCCGTTTACATCCTTTCAGAGGAAATTTCTATTTTCAGTGGGTACGAAATCTTCCAACCATACTTTCTGGAATGTTTAGATTTCTCTCGGAATTTTGGGTGTTCTGAAACGTCCAATGTACAGCATGAATGAGTTTTTTGGGACTGTTCGGCTTTGCAAATTCACGTTCTCTACCTTTTTCTGTGCAGAAATGTCTATATAAGGGTAGTTTCCTCCCATGTGTACGTATTTGTTGATCAATTTTTTCGGCTCATAGTGTTGCGAAAGGATTTCCCGTATTGGCGTCCTGCTGGCTGTACAAAAATGGCCATGCCCATAAACTCTCGTGCTCCCTGTTTTGTTCGGAATCGTTGTGGGTAGTTGTTTGCTGGCATGTGTTTTCACTTTGTTTACCGCTCACTATGACAATCAATCAATAGTGATTATTATTGTGACGAGTGGGTATTACGTAGGCAATGGGACGGTGATTGCTGATTGTAGAAGTCGGTACTGTACCGGCCTTTTTCTCGTTCAAAAGATCGCCTTCTGGAATGATGTAGGAGACGCAGAGTGGCCCCAATCGGATTGACATGTTTTTGTTGTTCTTCCCATGACATTTATCACAGCTTTCTACTACGATGACCATTCTGCCCCACATGCGATGTGTCGTCTGTTGTCTGGCGCTCTTCGTTGAGTGGACGGAGACATCCGCAACGTCGCGCCCGAAAAATGCTAATTGTTCCACTCGTAGGCTGATTATTTACTTCATCTCCTAATGCGATTTGCCATATGGTGACAGGACTCTTCATATGTAAAATTCTATGAAAAGGGGGTGAGAGCTTCAGGTTAGAATTTCAATCCAAAATGAGCTTTTTCATGGCTTAGCTAGGGATGGGAGATGGGAATTTGAAAGAATTATTCAGACTATAGAAGAACCCTGTAAGGATGAGCAGTGGGTGAGAAGCTCTGTTAGAGTGCAGGAGAGGTTTTGGTTTTGCGGTATTCCAAGCATGGTTATCGGCTTTTTCTCTGGTTTAACCAGGCTCCATTTGGAGCTTAGTTCGGTGTGATGAGAGAGGAGGGTTTAGATGACGAATTCCTCGTCGTCATGATACAACATAATCCGTATGCTTTAGTGTCAGTGTGAGATCGCATATGTCGCCATTCCGCTTAGTACGACGTTTTCCGTTGTAGTTATACTAGTTGTGTGGCAATTTTTCTCCAGAATCCCTCTTATTGGGAAATGGGAGTCTATTTTTCGAACTCCGATCGTTCAGAAAAATGAAGAAGAAAATGTAAATCTGAAATAAATAGCGCTGTGTGTAGCAGCTACTGATTCGAGTCTAGAGGTTGGGTCCTTACCGTAAATCCATTTTATTTCTGCTCTACTACCCCCTTTTTTCGTGTTTTGATGAATACTGTGGAACCAGCTAGAATCCCGAGTGGTTTCCGATTACTTTCCATTTATTGCTCGCCATTAGTAGTCAAATTTATTGACGTGGTTCGCATCTATTCCTGCCTACACCGTTGATTAGTAGTCTCACTGCGACGAACAACATTCTGAGTAACTTATCATTCATCCTGCTGCTGGACTTCTTTATGGGATTTTGGCCCTCAAAGTTCAAAGCGACTTGAACTGCGTTGTCGTCGTTTTGAGTTTTGGGAGGTTTACGACCGAACAGCTGCAGGCGGTCGGTCAGTGATGTTCTCCTCAGAATGCACAGCCGTCTTTAAACGATGGTCAGTCTCGAATATGCTGGGGATACTGACACGTACCGCAAACTCCATCAATAATCTGTGGCATTCCTATCGGTAAAAGTTATTCTTCGGAAATTATCTATTGACAGCTACCTTTCAGACGTCTTTATAAGTAAACGAACGTAGCGTTTACACTAACGATGCACGCGCGCCTAGATCGAATGATGTCTCGTAGGACGATTACTTACTGAACAGTCAACGTGATATCTGTAATAAAAGCGAAGTAGTGGATGCATTTACTTAATGTACCCAGAATGAGGGAATCAAAACCAATGCAAAATCCGACAGCAAAAGGCGGAATATCGATCGGCGGGAGACGCCGGCGTCGGCGTCGATAGTATGAATGCAGTGAGACTTCAATAATTCTGTTAGCGTTGAATTCTCTCAGAGGATCTTGAAGTGTGTGGCAGGTTCAAAATAAGTTATAAGTCGATAAATCAAAATAAAGTTTCATTTTCACTGCAATACAGCTCTTTCTTCCATCTCGTTCTATTTCTTCCTTTCTTGAGATTTGATAAAAGCTGTATTTTACTTTTTATAGTTTCATGTTTAGTTAGTGTCCTTCCGCTCCTTGTTCAGAACTTTTTTCTTTTCTTTATCTGCTCTTTGGTCACACTCTATTGGATATTCCGGAGAAGTACGTTTTATAGCTGAAATTCTTATAATTCGTATAGTGCAAAGTATCCTGAAATTGTTATTGATATTGCCATCGAAATTCAATGATCGTTAAGAATATTATTTACAGCCTTCCGAAATGCGTTCCAACGAAGTTCTTGAAAAAGGGAAAGTCATCGCACAACTCAATCATCAGTAAGTTCTAACTCTGACAAGTTCATCTTACAGAATGGCTGGCTTTTTTTCTGCTTAGAAGCATATGTTTGTGACGGGCCTGCTGAACAATTATGTTAATTGGCACATATGCATGCCCTGTAGTCAATTCTGGTCAAAGACCACCCATACCTATCATTTTAGAGGGTTGTTGACTTACCTATAATTTTGTTTAAGTGATGGATGGGAAACGGCATCAGCTATGTAACATTGTTTTGGGGAAACTCGGCCGGAAATGTGTGGCAGTGACAATTTCATCTGTCTCTCTCAGGGTATCTTGCTATGAACTCCTTTCTTTTTATGTTTCCTGGCCCTATAGAGTATTCTATATTTCAATTGATAACATTCATGGGCTTTCTTTATGCAAATACACTTTATTTGTTCGCTACAGAAGTGTCATCCAGGAACGGGGTCACCCCTCGTGAGAGTGCTTCATTGTTTTTTTTNTTTTTTTTATCGGCGGAAGTTTGCTCACCAGCTACACCCTCTTCACCATCAACACGTTCCCTTCCGTGACTCTTTGTTCTTTTTGCTCTCTCGGTCCGAAACACATCTATCAGTCAACATTGTGCAGGTTACGAAACCTCACAAAAGGGGACGTTACGATTGCCAGCTCGTAGAGTTTTTACAAAAGCGCTGAATAATTTTTTACAGGAAAATCCGTAATCGTGTCATGCCGGTTGCTGTGGACTTTGATCAACTGATCGGAGAACCTCGGCGTGTACCGGGCATTGGTTGGGCGGTCCCATGTGATGTTGTGGGACTGGACAGCAAGAAAGCAAAATCGGTGAAGGTGCATTATTTCGTTGAAAGCATTGGAGAGCCAGAGAGCGGGTATTCTACGTTTTCTTCTTTCATATTGGATAAGAGAGGTACAGGCGTCAGGCGTTTGCCGGGTGAGTGAAGTCCTAGAAAAGTCTCTCTCCAGTCCCACTTTCGTGGAAAAAAGGGGAAAAAGTTCAGGAACTCTTTGTATAAGTAATCAAATCAAAGGAATTTGCTGTGTTGTTCGGTCGTTTGTAGTTTAATCTGATTATTAGAGTTAATTTGCAGTTGCTGAAGTGCAAAAAATTTGGGTTTGGGGAAATATTCCAATGTGTGCTAGCAAGCACTGAACATTCTTGGCCGTCCCCAGTTTCACTTAAAGAAATGTAGGTAGATTTGTTCTTTTTTTTTTTGAAGAAAATGAAGTTCTATCTGATGGAGTTCTGCAGAGCTCCTCGAACATATTTTATAAAACACGCTTTTGGCAGCGATGTCTTAATACCGTTACTAATTTTGACCCTAAACACAAGGTACACGTGGGGGTCCGGGCATATCCTCTATATAATCACGCTCCTCCAGTCACAATGTCGTCGAAAGCTTGAAGAACACCGAGGCTTCATATTTCCTAACTTCTTTGAAGAGATGTGGGCGACCAAAGCTCTCACTCTCATTTTTGGTCTACCAAGATTGGTAAAACTTCGTCCCACTGGTAATTCTCCAAAAAGTCCCTCCCCTGGGACCTATTAGAGCCCGAGCCATCGTGTGAGGCCATTTGACATCTACCATTCAATGTAACAAAAAGGAAAAGGAACGGAAATGTCTTAAATAGTGAACGAAACGAAGTCTTTGGGAGAAAAGCCAGATCGACCTTGTAACTTATTCAGAACCATCAGCCGGCGTCAGCATGGTGGAACCATTGCCGCGTAGAAATGAGAAAATGTCGCGAGTTTGAAGTGGCTCACTTCTTCCAGTGGTAAAACGGACAAAGTAGCGGACATTAAGCTATGACTATACCATTTCCTGGCCGTACATTCTCGTAACAACACCTCCCCCCATGGGTCTTCTCAGGGAGCAACTTTCCTTTGCCGCTCAACACTATAGTGTTGGCTGATAAATACAATACAACAACTTTGATAACCTAAGTAAAGAAGTCAAGATATGCTTCCTATTTCATTAAGTTTTGTGAGCAGATTCACCGGCAGACGCATGACTCTGTCAAACGCTATCCGTCCTTTCTTTCTGAAATTTCGGCTAATCAAAATCACACTTTTTTGTGACTATAGGTTCGTTTTCATCCATCACTTGCGGAACTGAGTCGTGTGGACCGTTCAATAGCGAATGCCGCACTCAGAGATGCCTTGAAGGTTAGTGGTTTTCCCTAATGTACAGGAATTCAAAAGCGAGTAGTTCAATTCATGATTCATGTACAAATCATTGTTTGAATGAAAAGGGAAGACAGGGTTATTAAAGAAGCATCTTCGATCATTACATGAAATGGCTTCGAAAATTTTACATCCGTCTTGTAAAAAACCGAATCTTACTTCCAAATTGATACCCCATGGTTCGTGGAAAAACAGGTGGCGTATACCGTTGCGAAAACTGCCTCACGGGCAAATGGTCGGCCATCTGGGCTCTCCTCTATTGTGCCTCTTTCACGGGAGTGCTATCCTTGATTTAGCACCGTTGTCGCGCTATAAGGGCCTATATTATTGGTCATCGTGCAAGCGACAGATGTAGTACTTCCGATTTCATAGCTATTAGTTCCAGAATTGGTTCATTTTAATCCATGCTCTATCCATTTAATCTCATAGCAAAAAAAGGCTTATTTTTAGTATCTGGACGCATTACTGGAAAATGGCGAATGGACACGGCACACTGTAAAAACCGTTGATTTGCGTATTGGTCATCTCGATCGCATAGCTCATTTCCTAACATTGCGACATCCTACTCTGGTAGTAACTCACCGAAGGTTTGACACTATTCGGCTCCCAGCGGCAATTTCTATTTCAAATTTAAAATTACAGTCTGGATCTTATGTGGTCTCTTCACTCGGAGTTCCCTCAAACTGGTAGCACTACCAAGTTGGAGAAGTATGTTACGGAAGCCCGCTGCTCGTTGCATAACCACTCCGTTGCTACTGGTGTAGTGGCGAAAGTTGAAAAGACGGCTGGTTTGTTATTTTCTTCAATTCTCGTTAGATGGCTGAACCCATCTGTTGTGATCTTTGAGTGATATTAGCATTAGTATTTCAGTTAACATAGTATTTTAATATTAGTTGTAATAATTGTTTTTTTTTGTTGAAGTATTTCTTGGATAAGACTTTTCTTGTATTACTCGGTAGTTAGGTTCCCCTCTCTAGAGGATTTGATATAACCAGTACTCATGGTTGGCTCATTTGTTATTATCCCATATGGCGAACAAAAGCCAGTTGGTGCCCCGGCAGGCCATCCCATCTTTTTTAAGTGGATTGGTTTGCCTCTGTGATACCGCGAATAATCTGACCGCATAGGGTATTTTGAGTTTTATCATGAGCGTACGGGTGGATTATGGTGACCAACTCGTGGATGCCTTTACCTTCTGTATCGTGCGATTCCAGCGCGGATCAGAAGATCAAGCACCGTACTTGTGCATGGGTGCTCAGTTGGTAGAACTTTGGTTTCGCAGATGTGACTAAAAGCTTCGCATCCGTAATGAATGAGCTCGCTTTGTTTTTCTATTGAGTGCTGCAAAATCCGTTCATATTGCCAACATACCACCTTCACTCACCCTGAATGGGCACCGGCAATGGTTCCCAGAAGATGTTCCTTTTCCGATCCCACAACATTGGTTCCCTATCCTCCAAAAACATAGAATTGGAATTCAAATTTTTGGCTGATTTTTGACTCTTCAGCATTTCGAAAGAATGAGTGATTCATTCGATTGGAGAGCTGTTTGGAAAAAATTCGTTTGATATTCCTTTTCAAATGTCTGCAGAAAAGTTTTGAAACAGCGAGCAACTGTGAAAAGAAACACGTCGGATTTGACGTTCTCACGAATACGTCAGATGAGACGAGAAACACATTTGTAAAGGGGTCGATTGGTCGAATTGATTACTTACTTTCTCTATCGATTTCCCTTCACTTCCTGGTTGTCATTTGGTAGCGATGAGCGGAATTTGCATGAATATGTGTCTTTTTTGGCCGTCGATAGATAAAGTGCAGCGGCCCGATCCCCTTGCACTAACAATAAGAATAGAAGCTCTTGGGAGTGAGAATAACTTCTTCTGGAATCCTTGTCCTACACTCTCAAAAAGGTGCATGGTCATCATTGGATGTGCGGCGGCTGGCGTCGTCGCGCCACCCAGAGTGGATCAGTCGTCTAATGAACTCATTACGTTTGTGGCGTAAACAACATCACATAGTAATTGTTCTCATTACTTTCCGCTAGTTCCCACTAACAGGATAAGGGCTAGTTGCTGGATCGGAATGTCCTACAAGGAAGACTTGTTCTGTTCGATTCGGTGCTATCGCATTCACTAAAAGGATTTGAACTCCGCAAAAGGGACTCGACCCGTGCATCGCTAGGAAGTGCAAAGTGCCACATTTCACGAACTCTTTTTAGCCAAAATTTTGTGGTTCCACTTCACCGGATCCCAGTACAATCCCCTTAGGGGACACAGTACGATCCCCTCCCCTTGAGGAAAGTAAGGACTGAACTTTTGCTGGGAAAGCGATTCTTGAACTCTTTAGTGTTGAATGAACCTTCTAATAGTAACGTGAGATGTAGAACTGTTGTGAAAGATTTTGGCACACTTTTTCATCGAGAAGCAAAGCGAGCACATGTCGGGCGCTCGATCTTTACATCATCCATGTGAATTCATGTGAATCTATCAGCTATAGCACGCTCATCGAGAACCGCAATGCTGTGAATGTTGAACCTGTTTCACAGACCGGGCATCAGAGGGGAAGGGACGAGTCTGAATTGAATTGGTCGGATAGTCATAGAGAAGTAGAGGAATCGTATCGTACCGGGGAAATAATATTTCTTTTGTAGATCTAGTAAACTTGAAATTGTCTATGAAAATCTTAGAAGAATTAGAACCAACTGTTTTCTAAGTATTTCGCTAACCACCCGACTGACGCCTTTCGCGGAAAAAGTGCAGTGCAGCCAATACGCATGTCAAAGCCCGTGAGGCGTTGATGCGATCTGAAACATAAGGTAGCCCAAAATAGAACTAATTTTGTTGAGTTATTGAAACTACTTTTATATGTCGAACACCCCTCCAAGGCCTTTTCGCGTCAAAGAGGTGACAGCGAAGGTGTAAGCATCAAAAAGCAATAGTTCCACTTTCTTAATTGACATCCATTTTTCATAAAAAAGTTGTTTACCACGTTTAATTACGTCCCCGAAGTGTGAAACTAGCTAAAATGTTTACAAAAAAAAGCTTCAACTTTAGCTTTCAAGCATAAATCACCCGTTTGCTTGGTCGTATACCTCGTATTTTCTGCTCTGATTGTCATGCACGTGGCAGGTCGCGATATTACGTGACTGTGAGAGATCTAACGTAAAGTCGAGCGCCCGAAGGGTCTGAACCATTTGTCATTCGCAATGGAAGTATTAAGCAATCATCATGCAGCTGCAAATAGTCACTCATTGGTAGAGCTTGAGAACGAGAAAAAAGGGACCGAACGCCGGAGAAAAAAGGATCGGAAATGATTAAACAGATGGGATTCCAGCGAACAAGAAAAAAGCTCCGCTTCAGCTTTTTCTGTAGGCATGAGTAGTGGTCCTGATCGCAAGCGTTGTATTTATTTTTGGCTCCAGCGCCGTACGACGCTTTCTTGACGTCATAGTGTTATACACCAATATCACTTCTTTTACCATTCACTCAGTACTACTGGCAAACGAATACGAACATTACGCTCTACCAGTGACACTAGTGGAGAAGAAAACTCTGGAGAGTGCTCTAGGATGGCCACAATTAATAAACATCTTTATGGGCTTGGAAAACTACTCATAACCATGTGTTCAGGTGAAGATGGTCAAGAAGTAGAAGTATTATTCGAAAAGCCCGGTCTAGTGCGACCTATCCTCCGATTGTCCCTTCAGAAGGATCCGTCATACTTGCAAACTGGAGTGATACGACAATGTTGGAAGGTGAGGAACAGGAAATTTTCGTCTTTTCCGCGTCTTTTCCCGCTTTCCCTAATCTTTTTTACCTTTAATATTCTTTGTCGTTTGCCGTTGACTTTCTTATCGTACCAACTACTTTCAATCGCAACGAGAAAGGGTAAAAACTTCTTTATGGCGGTTCTTTTCAGCTGACTAACAATGACAACAGTCTTTGTGTAACCCTTCCTCGAGCTGCACAACAAGCGGAAAGCATTCCATTAGTCGTTCCTCAAAGCGTGAAGCTGGTTGTCATGGAGCACCAGAAGGAGGTTCCTATTGTGAGTGACATTTGTCATGCTTCATTAGTTACTACATTTTCTAGCCTTTTTGTTGCTTAACGTACCGTAACGCTATCTATTTGCTCTCGTGCATGGTAAAACACATTTCGTGCTTTCTAAGCCTGACAGAGCCTTCAGTATACCATAGGAACTATGAGTGCATGTAAATATTATGGAAATCGGCTTATGATCCCCCTTCCTGCACCTCACTAGGCGCTCTTCGTGGACCACGCATTCATCCTTCCGACTTATAATACTCTCCATGTCTAACAGTGGGCTAACGGTTGGGTACTGATTCTAGTACTATCAGTGCTGCTGTTCTTATCTGGCTCTAGGTAATATGTCATTGGTGTGCGCAGTAATTGTAAACAGTGGAGTCCTGCGTTATCAGCCGTTTTCTGTAGTTCTTCCTGGCGTGCAACTAGCTGTGGAGAAAAAAAATTGTTTACACAAATTGATATACTATTGTATATTATGACAAGTATATTGCCGAGAATGGCTCTAACTCTCAAGTGGAACATGTACCTCCTACATCTGGGTTCTAGGCAAGAGACCCAAGAGACAGCGGAGCCATTTTGATCATCTCAAGTCACCGAAAAGGCTGGCAGATGGATTTGGGAATTGAGGGGCGAGAATATGTTATTCTTTAGGTTGAACGAAGAGTCAATATTTTTCGTTTTGAAATAGGGCCATTACGCATTAGGGCCCATTAGAATGTTTGTAGAGGTGTTGAAATACTATTTCAGCTCAAATTTCACTTGCAACATTTCGGGAATCAGTAACGTCCAGGTGAGGGACGATTTATGGGGCAAACTCAAGTACTGATTATGAAGGAACTGTGAAAGCGGTTGTCCTAGAAAGATTTTAGCCTAACGGTGCAGTCATGGCCCTTTGATCACAATGACAGCTTCCCCCCGCCCCAAAGGCTCATGCGTTAGATATGGTGATTTATGCAAGTGCAGACCGTGAATGCATTAACAACACATTTGACACCCGCACGTTCCCTCGTTCTCATGTGGTTTATGGTCATGCTGGTGCTCAATCTGAATGCAGAAGGTTCCAATTTGTGCCTGTGGTAGAGTAAAAATGCGGGCCGATGAATTTCATTCTTCTTGAGCACTCAAGTGTACTTCTCTGTTAGAATTAGTACAGAAATAGTGCAGTGTTTACGATACCAGTCACACTTCTGCGATGAACGTTCTTTGAGGTTGGAACCCACCTAGTTTCCGACCTCTAAGGACGTTGACCGGGGGAATGTGAACATTCACTGTCTAGATTATGGGGCAAGAAGTGCGTGGGGCTGAAAACAGTATGAAGATTGATCGTTTTCTTTTACGCAGTCTCCCTGGATGAAATACAGGCTATCGGATATTTAACTCTGGTTTTTTGGTTATTCTCATGTAGGACCAAATGGGAATTTCATATAATTGTTTGCATAACTGCGATAGTTTCGTATGTGTGGGCGGATATGGTTCACATTTTCCTTTGAGCAGGTATTATTTGTGCTGCGGCTTTAATTCACAGAGACCGTGCATGCTATGCTAAGAATCAGACAGGCTCAACAACAACAATATCAAACAAGCCGTTTTGTGGGGCCGAGAGATATGGTTTGATAAGTGGTGAGGCCACGAATAGATTGTCTTATATTTTGTACATAATTGGACCAAAATTCGTGGTCCCACTGTTCAGCAGCCATTTAGATCGGCAGAGTTCATTAATCTATGACTAGGATTCTTGAGCCCAGGTTTGTAGGATCTTTTGAACGCTTATTTGGCTCTTGCACAGGGTACCGGGCTGGTAGTTGTACTAGAAGAATGAAAGGTTTACACGGTCAATGCAAAATTCGATTTACAAATTAACTTCCGTGCCATGTTCGGTGTCGCTCGCCAGCGCTGAGAAAATTGAATAAAGCTGTCATGCAAAGTGGAAGTCTGCAGAAATATAACTTTCTTGAGAACAAGGCTAATTTACTTTAACTTTAACGAGTCATTCATATGTAATGAACTATACACGACTTGCTGGTACCCGCGTATCGCTCATTAGCCCTTAATGAAATCGGAGAATTAATTATAACCAGCTTGTAGGTTCCAGGCTTTACGTATCTCGTGAACATTCCTTCGACCATTATTTTATTGCCCACCGCATTGTTACCCACCCTAGTTGACAATACTGGTTTTTTCGGTGGTGATTTTGGTTGTCACTTTGGTATTTCGGTGATGATTTTGATGGTTACTGGTTCATGGTTTCCCCCAAGTGGCGATCCGTCATCAACGTATGAACCGTAGTCTAGTTAGAAAACATCGGGCGATCTTATTAGTTATCACTATTTCTGCGAAGTGATTTATTGTGGCCGCCAAGAAAGGCCGGCAAAGGTGTGGCGTTCCGGGTCAAGGTAGTGCCGCTACGATGGTAACCGGCGGTTTCCAAGTTGTCCAGGTGGTTTGCTTTGTTCGATGCTGAAGGGGGTTGAAATGGTTCGACTTTGAAGTAATTGACTCGAGCCAAACGGTAGATGATTTTGAACATCATTCGTATTGCTCACATTGTGTGTGGGTCGAGTCTCAATGGTTCCATTAGCTCACAGTTGCGAATTGTCACTAGCTCGTGGACACGTGGATTCGGTAAACAACGCAGTTTCGCATTGCCAACTGTGTTTGACGTCCCCACACCATTGTTATTGTTCACATGCTTTACTAGATGATTTTATGATTTCTTGAAATGCATTGTTTCCAATGCCTGCTGTAAATGAGAGGAAATCACCGCCATTGTTTGTGTAGCTCTCAAAAACATGCTTCTGAAGAAATGATTGAATGGTGAATTGCTATTGGAAACTAGCCTACAACTGCTTCTGTTTTTCAATCTTACTTGCAACGCCCACGTCGTGATATGCGCTGTCATCAGGCTTCGCGTATCGATTCTGCGGACCAGTAGCTAGCCGGCCAGGTCGTCGCTCCGCCTCATCAACCCATGTCGTTTGGGGCCAACAGCAATCGCGTACGCTGGTCTTCATCATTACAGCTATTGTCCCTCCGTTTTCAGAGGTCCTTTTTTGCTTTGGTTGTTGTAAAACAGTTGTACAAGCAGTTGCTCAAGTCGTTAATAGCATCGATAAAATAGTGGATTCAACGCTGGCGCCGCTTTCGAAGTAGTTTCGAGATTTTTTTTCTGTAGAATTCAGCGGAACGAAACAAAGTATGTATTTAATTCGCTTTGAAAAATTGAAAAGCTGTTTATCACCTGATCATTCACCCTACAGGCAGGCGGCTATAGCTTTCTAAGTTCTCAAAGCAAAATAAGTGCACTTTTTCGGATTCTGACAAGATCCAGTCCACTGACCTTTCCCAACCTACATACAAGATCCCATTGTTCCATGAGATGGTAAACTGCATGAGCTTCCCGTGAACCAAGCCTTTTCAGGAACGCTCGTCTGGAAAAGTTGATAATTTGTTCAGGAATTGGCATTCCTTAACTTCCCTATTGTTTCGAATGAGATGATTGTTGTGAGTTTCCCGCTATAAAGGACTTGATTGAACGTGCCCTTTCAATATTTCCTATCTCCCAGTTTCTGTTGTATGTGAGGGTTGTGGGAGGCCGCCGGTTCAGCATTGTGCTGTCATGTTCTTTTGTATATGGAATCATATGTTGTGACAGCTGAAAATATTTCGCCCGATTAGTCACCATGGAAATATTTAATATTCATATGAAGAAATGCCATGTGACGGATCTGTATTATGAAATCAGTTGAATTAAGCAGCCTGTGATCAGTATATGGCCTTTTTAGTTGCTACGATCGCTTTCGTAATCCTCGTTTACATTTTTCGGTTTGGCATGAATTGCCTCTATGTCTTTTCCTCTCGGTCTGTCCAGCATTGTCGTTTAGGAGTTGGCAGGTTTGCTTTATTATCGAACAAGTGCAGCTCTTCCCAGCGTCGCCGCTGCGTGGTCGTTCGGCGACGTTTCTGGAAAGGCGCGCGGAGGAGGGGAGTCTGCGACATGTCCAGAAAAACGTGTCGTTTGGGTCCCTCACCCCAAATGAAGGGTCGGAAGCTTGTTATGGCGTCCGATTATTCCAGCCTCAAGCGCTTGAACTAATTTGCAATGGTAGTGCAATCCCCGGATGAATTTCAGGTGGTGCTCCTCTCTGTCCGTCATTTCAGCCTTTTCGTTTTCTTTTTGCTACTATTACGCGACTGTTCCTACGGCTAACCACGTATACATTCTGATATGACCCTTGCTGTGACGAATTGGTTTATGGGGAATGAAACGGGCGCTCTGGTTATCGAGGGCTGCTGTGGACCGGGCGGAGACTAGTGGTGAAGGCCGAGCAGAGAACACTCAGTTGTCCGAGAGGCGCATTGTCCACACTGCGCAGCCATCCGGCGTTGTAACGTTACGCTCCTCACGACTAGGCTGGAAATCTCAAGCATTCTAGCAAGCCTGGCCTGTTATATCGTATCAATGCAGCAGTATCTCGAGGAGCCGAGTTGGAACAGCTCCTGTACATATTCACGGCAATGCGGAAGTTTTTTATTCGATTACACCAGGTCTTGGATACGAATGAAGTATTTTTGATGTTTGGTCTTCCAAGATTGGCATCTTTTCTGTCCGACTTAGCGTTTCGGTGGCGATCCCTTTTCGGTGGGTTTTTTTTTTCAAACGCGACGACTCCAGACTGACGACGTACGTCAACTTGAGGTGCTAGCTGCAGTTTCGTAGTTGAAAAGAACTCTGAGAAGGCGATAGCAGTCGAAACGCTGTTCAGAGGAAGTTGTTCAATTCTTGGAAATTGGAATATTATTGCCGTTTCATCCCAACTATTTATTACGTGTCATTTTGCGGCCTGTGCTAATAATAGCCTTTGACATCCTCTGGCTTGTGATCGTCGAAAAGCTGTCTATTTCAGAAGTGGTTCGATAGTCTCACGTTCTGCGTTTGTGAAGGGCTACATCAATCCATTGCGCTCGGCAATTCGTCATTTCAATGGTCATACTTTTCTCTTGACATGAAATCAGATTTCAGTTTTGAAATTATTCTCACAGCTCGGTAGGTTGTCTGTATTGATGGTTCCTGCGAGATTGACGTTTACTTAGCCTTCAACAAGCGGCGGAGACAGATGGGTCGCAGTCACACGATCGTTCTGAGAGGTTTGAATTGGTGGAGGATTGATGATTTGTCTCAGATTTCTCTTTTCCACTTACTCGAGAGGATTATAGAGCTTCCGAATGCTCTCTATTCATCCCTACTAGGAAATTATTCGAGGGCATTATTACTCGATCCAGTGGAGCGCTGTATGTCTCCCCCGGAGCTTCTGAAATACTCGGTAAGGAGGTGCTTTCTGTGCGGAGAAGGAGAGCGTTGAAGTGTTTGGTGTTTTCTGTCTAATGAGCAAGCTCCTGAACAGGAAGGCCTGTTGCGGCAATCACCATTGCTGAGGAGGCGGAAATGTTTTTAAGAATGCCGTCATTTTGTCGACAACATGTATGAATGGGGGTCATTGAATGTGTTCGTTTCATTAGAATCCAAAGTGACATTCCATTCCCCGCTCGCATTTTTGTGATGTTTTCAACGGCGCTAGCTGTTCCTTCCTATTGGAGGTTATGTTTACCGCGTCGCATATGTAAAGAGCGGCAATCAATTGCACGTGCTGTATATGTAATGGTGTACGGTGAGATGGTAGCGGGTATGCCTTATCTGGGCATTGACGGCTCAACATTATGCGCTGCTAACGAAGAAAGTGTTGTCTTATCAAGATCTAGTTCCCTTGCTTTCTTATCTCCCCATCGTAGACTTCCACATACGTGCATATTGACCATCGCTGCCTCGTCGACAGTCTGTTCAGAAAAACTGGGCAGTAGTCATTATGATACAAAAGACGCGAGAATACATCATACACCATGCAGTTTTTGACGTTTCCGATGACTAGTACTTCAGAGGTGTGACTGACTTGACTGGCGGTCCCGCCTCTGCCGTACAGTTTCCGCTAGTTGCCGAGTGTGATGCAACGGAGCGCTGGCCTCAGGGATCTGATGCAAAGCTCTTGTTCCACTGCTGAACACATGGAACACTCCAAACTGTCCCCTGTAGCCCTTAGTTGATTTAGGGGTCTTCATGCGGCGTCAATTTATTGCTGTTGACTTTATTGACTTAGGGGATATTTATTGTGTTGTTTACATTTCTATGAGCTGTCCGATTGTGTCATCTTTGCGGGATGTTTACTCTTTTGGTTGACGCTCGTGTTGGTTTGAATTTCTCAAGGTTAGCATATGGTATTTTCGAGTTGAGATATGCACGCAGCGGTGACGCGCAAATGTGTCCAACTCATCTTTGGTGTTGAATCGTCAGAAATCTCATTCTTGCTCAGCCAGATAACAAACGTGGCGGATACATTCTGAGGTTTTGATCTTGGCTGATATTTTGCTGAGTTTCAATTAGTCGGTTTCGTTGACATACTAGAGGTTTTCATTATTTTAGATCGAACAGTTAATAGCAGCCTCAATTCACGATATATCCTCTCTTGAGGGGACCTTTTTATGTAATTTGTAAAGTTAGGTCTCTAAATAACCACGATTCAAGCAATATTTGGAACATTCCGCTACCATTTGATTCGTTGATTGCTCTTTTGTTGCACTTTTTTGTGATGGGAATCACTCGCTGCTTTCTGCCCCTCTCCATTTTTGCCCATCCATCTATATGCATATATAGCTATGTTTACTTAACTATCTTTTTGCATATCTATTCATATTTATTCGATTATATCTTTTAATTGATCGCCAACTCGGATAAAAAATCATATTTACATGTCATTGAGGTGTGTGGGTTCACTCACCCCATACTTGTCGGCTTCTTACTTTGCTTCAACCTCATTTTCTCCCGAAACGCCTACCTTTTTTGATTCATTCTCTGCTTCCTCTTTATTGATAGTTCACAAGGCTCTGCTCTTTTTTCTGGTTTCCTTTTCTTCCATTTATCTCTGTTTTTCTATCGATCTCTCCTCTTCTCCTTGTGCACATTTTTGGTTTTCTTCTTCAGATTGCAGATGACTTTATCTAGTGACTATTTTTTGCCCTACTCCTTATTTATGAACAGTTGTTGACCAGATTACCAAACGCATGACAACTATGTTTTCCGACGGGAGATCAGTCTTTGTAATGAGGTGATTGCCGTTTCCTGATTTGGAAAACAAGCAAATCCTTGCCTGGACAAATGTTTACCTAGCTAAAGATAGTCCTCCACGAAAAAACTTGGATGAGTAATATTTCCGAGTGCCCATCTCTCTTTCATTCCTGGTAGTCAGTAAGCCAAAAAGTAAAATTTTGGAAGGTACTCTATGCTTTTCAACAATCTGCAGCCATGCTCTTCGGGTGAGTTGTTTATCAGAAGTGTAAACCGGGAAATGACCGGGAACTAATCTCTTCGGCTTATCAGTTTCTTCAATCTCGAAAATGATAGTGCTTGAGATTTGATGGGCTCCTTCTGCAGATAACGTCCTTCAGTATCAAGCATCCCCTACGTTTTTTCCTACCTCGTGGTCTGTGATTGACGTCTTCTGTAAGGGGAACATTTTCACTTCTCCGTAAAGAATATTTTAGTTAATCATTCAAAAACGTGCTGCCTTGGTTCCTGGCACGGCCATGCGCCAATGTCTGGTACATTTAACGATATTTTTCTTCTCGGCTGCGTTCGCTTACTAGTAGCCCGCGGCCTTTACAGGAATCTCCGTTGCTATGCAGGAAATTGAATCAATTTCATAGCCTTACTCATTAGGAAACTTATATTTTGTAATTTTAAGGCTAAGTTCAGATCCTTCGTGTTTCGATGCATCATTTTCATTGCCCATAGCCGCTCCTTTGGAGAGATTTTGCGCACAGCCTCGGTTGGCGTCGGTACCGTATCCTTGCCTTGTCCTTGTCTCTCCCCTTTTGCTGTTATGGCAGGGTCGTAGTCACATGATTTCTCGTTGTGACTGTGAAGGATCATCGACCTTCATCGTTTTTGCAACGGTCATCACCTGCTAAACTAGTTTTACTGATTGTACGCTAAGCCCGAATTAATGCAGCAGATTATCCCCTTGTCGGATCTGCCAAGTTATTTGGAAGTTTGAGGGGTTTTTATGGTTGAGTTCAATAGACAGTGCCTTTTTGAGGGGTGATCCTGAAAGGTTATGGTACCCCTCTGGACTGTGACCGGCTGGAACGGCACGTGCATATTCTGAAATTTACTTGAACTACGGTATACTATGGTATTACTTCCATGACCTTGTTATTTGCCCAGCTTAATTTGACGTGCGAACCTTAATAATCTTTCTGTTGATCTAATAGTCACGTGGTTCATTGGGAGCCCCACGTCAAGTGCATTGAGGAGTGGGTGGATATTGTAAAGTACACTTTCACAGGTACTGGTGTGTTGATACCCCCGCGAAAAATTCTTCACTGGGTCGAGTCGTCAGTGGCCAGTTGTGATCACGTGTTGGTGCAGTTGTTGCTACTGCAACTGGCAGTGATGGAGCTGTTCGAATGTTCGCAATTACTCATTCACGTAGTCCGTTTCGATGGTGTAGCTATAGCTGAGAAACGTTTCGGACGAGGCCAAAGACTGAGCCGACTAGTCGGTCGTTGGCCGACCACATCACCCCATTCCTTCCGATTGTTCGCTAGCTGGACGAAAATGCGCTCTCCGCTTTGTGAAGTTTCTGGAAAGTATTCCTACCGGCCGTTACGGCAGTATCTTATCAGGTTTATGGTGATGGCTCTGGCAAACTGCAAGGAAATGTTAGATGGGTCTCTCTTTTGATCGGTAATTTTACTCAGTCAGCCTTTCGTTGGACGTGCTATTACCCAGGTGCCTGAAATTTCTGGCAAAATAAGTTTAGGGTACTGTGGTATGCAAAGCGATTACGTGCTTCACCGGTCGCCGGGGCACTCTTCACTGATTAGGTTGTAGCATAGTTTGTTAGCNCGGCCGTTACGGCAGTTTCTTATCAGGTTTATGGTGATGGCTCTGGCAAACTGCAAGGAAATGTTAGATGGGTCCCTTCATTTGATCGGTAATTTTACTCAGTCAGCCTTTCGTTGGTCGTGCTATTACCCAGGTGCCTGAAATTTCTGGCAAAGTAAGATTAGGGTACTGTGGTATGCAAAGCGATTACGTGCTTCACCGGTCGCCGGGGCACTCTTCACTGATTAGGTTGTAGCATAGTTTGTTAGCTTTGAGTGGTGAGTGGTTAGACAATGAGGCTTTCAAGTGCCCCAAGTGCCCTTGCGGTAAATATTTTTCTCTATTTCAGAAGCATGCTCAGGTGTCAATCACAGGTTTCTTGTGCTTCGAGGTGTCAATGTGTCCTGGACTTGAAACAAACTTTCCAAAAACTCAGTCAGAAACACCCTTGGTGACCACCACTTGGCTGTAGATCTTTGAAATTTCGGATCTCATTCGGGTTCGTAGCGCTCCATTATCTTATTCATCGTGTTTGGATCTTGTTCCCATTTCATTCCCCGTATTAACCGTAATAGGGGTGGCCGCAGCAGATTACGCTTTATCGATCCGGCGCCCAGAATCTGCAGGTTTCCTTGTTTGTCAGGCAAGAATTTACGGGTGCTTTATCAGAACTTGTTGCTGGTTCTCACTTGAGTTGCGGCGTTTTTAAATGCTTTCCGAAGAAAAGTTCTTTGAATCATGTCTTTTAGAATAGTTCCATTTTATGATTGCACTTTGTATCATTTCCATCTTTATCGACATTTAAAAGTGGGATTCAGCTCACGTCTCGCTGTGAACGTGGTGTTTTTTGATGTTTTGCTGGAATCTCCAAATGAATCATTTCAGATGATGGAAGAGTGTCAACTGCGTGTCGACGACCTTCGTCGTCGTTTAGACGAATCGCTGACGGCGTTCCAACGGTCGTCGACTCGTCGTGACGCGAAACCGCGTGCGCTTCATATCGTGCGGCAGAACAACATGGAGACTCTGATTGAGATCAGCAACGTGAGTACATCGCTGTTTTATAGACGCGACTGGCTTTCTCTGTGTTTTTCGACCACCTGGAATTCTTCTTTACAACCATTAATTACTGCCTTTTATGATTTATGACCGTTATTTTACGAATATAGGTTACGCTGTTGCTTTACAGCCTGGAGAACGTGCACGTTTTGATCGTTTGATGGCGTCATCACCTCTGAATGTGATTTGCTGCAATGGCGCTGCTCCAGCTGTCGCCACTAGTCCAGCAGATTCGACTGATTCGGGCGTAGCGGTGTCACCATTATCATCTCCTGTTAGCGGTACCAAACATTCGCCATTCTATCAGTACTCGGGTAAGTATCTGATAACTTTCTTTATCTCTATGTTATTCCAGCCCATCCGAGGTTTCATGAAATAGTCATAGCATGCCCACTTTGGCCTATCAGCAGGGCTGTTCGGAATATAGGCCTGCAGGCGCAACGATTTCTTAGGTAGTGTCCTTCAAAGGTATTCTGTAGATGCTATAACCATGTTCAGTTTGTGGCAGAATGCTGAAGAACGGCTGGGAATGTGAATACTACTGATTTTCTTGTTTTTTTTTTACCCAGCAGGAAAAGTAGTCCCATGAATTGAGGTCAGAAAAAGGATGCTTTGCTAGCTGAAAATGCAATATGCTGCACTTTCCGCTAGCAAAGCATGTAATTAAATTAGTTTGCTTGGCATACGATAATCCAAGAGTCCAGAAGACCACTTAGAGGGTGCGAAAAATGAGGGTCCTAGCAGGGCAGACCGAAGCCGTCGCCCGCGCGGCGATGACAAGTCCCTGAATCGTTGGACCATTTACTAGTGTATGTTGATTTCAATAAGCCGTCGTTTTAAAACGTACTTTTTGTTTCAGAACAAAGTCGTATCGGGATGAGACAACGTTCGGCAAGTGAATGCGTGGATTGGGACGGCGTTGTGCTAAAAAGTATTCTGAAAAAACCCCAGCGTACAGATCGGATGTCGAGGTGAAGAGTTGACCTTCGATGTTGTCCGCCAATGAATCTCCGAAATGAATGGTTGAAATCATATCAGATCCATCTCGGAATCTCATCACTTCACATCGGATTCGATGCATCTTTCGCTGCTGATGGAGTCGACAACGGAAGTTGACGAAAGCGATGCACATACCGATCACGGTACACAACCATTTTTTGTCTGTTTTGGTGTTGAGCCCATCTGGGAACGGGGATGCTCGGTTATGTATTCTGCATGATTGTTTCAGAGAGCCATATGGTCGTGGAACGAAAGAAACGTGTCTCGTTCAGTGAAAAAGTGCAGGAACGTCGTTTCCGCGTGGGACAGTGTATTCTAACGGCTGCGAAGAAAAATGAAAGAAAACGAGCTTACAAGAAACGCAAAGAGGAAAGGCAACGCAGTCTTAGTGAAGATGAGCAGGTTAGTCAGAAGATTACAGTAATCAAGATGAGTTAAGAATATCGGGGATTAATCGCGTCACGCGCAATGGAAGCCGGATAATCGGCGAATGAGATGGATTGTGGGGATGAGTAAGTTGTGCCGCGTAAGAGTCGATCTGTGTACGGAAGTTTTTTTCGGAGAGAGCGGACAGGTGTTCGTAATGTCCGGCGGAATAGCTTTAGCAAAAAGCATCGCGGTCCATATTTGACGTTCATTTAGCGAGCGCACAATGGGGATGAGGGGTCGGCAGAATGAGTACTGAGGAATACATTTCCATAGCTATTTGTTTTTGTCACTTCATCTGCTATTCTTTGGTGTTTCCAAACTGGCGAAGGGCTTTGGTAGTTGGAATAACGCGGATGGAGATCTGTGGTTAATCCCATTTATTCGTCTTTTTCGGATTTGTTTTAACCACTATGACCCCGTTTGGCCCTTGTGTTTTGGTCAGTTTTAGACCTGTGGCAGCACTTCGCGTTAAGTGGGAAACTGGATCAGTCGACACCGTTTTTCATCACGTAATCAATCCATGTAAACTAAAACAAACTAGGTTTACTTATGCATAGTTTCGATGACGCTACTGCAAATTACAGCAGAAGAACCCCTTTCGTTACTTATTCTTGGATTCCTGTTCTGTAGTTCCCGGAGTGATTGCTTAAAGTTATTACTATTCGAGTGGTCTCGAGAGTCGTTTCCCTAGAGGTTTGCTTTCTCTTTCCTGAGGGCTTTATTTCCTATGTCGACCAGAAACCTGGTTGAGAGTGAAACTTTTCCTTATCAGGTGTTGCGTGGCAGAGGGCATGTGAGCTTGATAGTGAAGTTTTTCTTTGTTGCCCACTGGTGATAAGGACTAACATTGCATTTCGGGCACCAGGTCTCTCTTGGCTTTTTATGGAGCTGTAAACAGGGTTAGAGGTTTTTATTGCTCGGTGGAAGTCTTCAGGGGTGCACTTCCTGATGGTAGCATGGTGATGGTAATATTTCGTAGCTTATCGGAAATCTGTACTGATACCAGCTTGATAATATTTTGTGATATTTAGTGGTAACATTTTCAGAATTGCGAAACGAAAGAGAACTCAACCTCCTCTGTTGATGTTGACGCTGAAGGTAGGCAAATTTTCATGAGGCATTTCTTTATACTGTTTGTTTGCCTTTACTTTTAGTCCTATTTCTTTTACATCGTTAAAATGCTGTAGTACCTTGATTTTTACTTCGAAATTCCCCACCGGGCAAAAATGAATTACGCGGAGAGCTTATCTTCGAATCGAGTGCCTAATGGGTATTCTTGAAGAGAGTGTGAGCAGTTTTACTGAGTAATGCTAGGAAAAACAAGGCTGCATAAGTAATACCGTATCCTAATAGGGTTCAATTGTATGGAATAGGAAATTAGCTTTTAGGTTTTAATGATCATTTTTGTGTATAGGTGCAATTTGCTCAGTATTCTGATGAGTCCGTCAGTTTTCAATTTCAGAAAAACCTGGTATTCGGTCGGAACGCCAAGATAGCGGTTTTGTTGACGGTGATGAGAACGACTACGAAGACGAAGAGAAAGAGAAAATCCCAACCAATGAAGCACTGATTAATCCGGAAGAGCGTTGGAAGAATATTGTACGTCAACAAAGAGAAGTAAGTTTCCATTTCATCCAGTTTTAAATTGGGTTAGATATTTGAAGAAAAATTACTTGATGATTTCTGATTGATTGCTCCCGTAGGTAGGGTAGAGGATGTCCAGGACTGGTTCCGTTGAGGATTTGGGAAAGAGTTCTTCTCGTGCATTCCCTGAAGTAAATTGTAGAGCTTTGAGTTCGCTGCTTTTTGTTCTGATACCTCCCTGCTTACAATCACAGATGCAGCTTTTTGTTGATGGCTACGAATTTATTACAGCCTGATGCCAATAGAAACCCCGCAGGGACAAGATCCATCATCAGAAATTGAATAATACCCCTTTGCTGGTGGCCAACATGAACAACATGAGCTATGACGTGGGAGGTATAGGCTGTAAATACGATGGAAAATGAGATACTTTCATGTAATACAGTATTATGTCCCACTATTACTGCGAGGTGGTGTAGTGGCAAGTGGCGCAATATATCACACGCACGGTCAGGGGTTCGAATCCCGGATCGATGCCCGCCTAGGNGTCGGTGAATTGGTACCAGACTCGTCTGGGAGGATAAAAGCACTGACTTGTACATCGGCTGGCCACCGCAAGTCATTGTATAGGCCACATACGCACTCATTACGCCACTACGATTCTGAATGGAAGTCGAGTGCGGGGGCGCATCCCCTGACGGGATTGATTAACGCCAAAAACTTTATCCTTTTATCCTTTATTACTGCGAGGGAGCATCGATTATTCCCGTGACTCAGCCTGAGCCACTACGGGTATGCTTTGAGAGCGTTTACTCGATGTCCGATTCAAATTAAATCCTCACTGCCTTCCAAATTTGTTAATTTAAGTATGCTTAAGTGGAATCGTACAAAAGTTCAAGGTTTTTATTCAGTAGTAGAGGTTCCATACCAATTTTAACCTTTTCAGGTTTCTACTCATTGAGTTTGTGCCCCTTTATGAAAAAACTGTGAGACGAGAGCTATTAAAGAGAAACGGATACGAATCTCAAGGCACTTTATGTAAATTAACGCTGTATAGAATATGCTTATTCATTCATTTCTACATCATCTTTCTGTATCATTCCGGGATTTGCCCATTCCTTTTTTTTCTATGTTGTAGTTACGTTGTAAATTAGTAGTCGAATGTGTTAATTCCCGGACAATTAAAGCCTTCTAGTAACGAGATTTTCACCGGGTCCTTTACAGTTCAATACTTTGCGTGTGTGATGTCTTTTTTTAGAAACAGAAAACATAGTTTGCATGTGTAGATTGTATACCTAGTGTTCTATGATATTAGTAGTGATGTAGATCTTTTATTTTTTCGGCGTAGATATTGTGTGGTTCATGCCCCAAAAGGTTTCAGAGGTGTTTTATACGAGGATTAGGTATTTGGTTGTTGCCGCGCCGCAACCGCACGCGGCCGATCCTGGCCATTTTGAGTTGCGCTGCAATCATCAATCTTGTGACATGAACCACGCATACGTTCAGCTGTGGGAGAGTTGAGCAAATAGCTCCTGTCCAGACAGTGTAGTGATCAGATAACTTCGTCGAGTGTTGTGTACATATGTAAGTGTGACTACTTCCCTGCCGTACTTATTAGTAACCTCTCATAGTTGGATTTCGTCGTCGAATCACAATAGATCACATCGACCTGTATTATGAGCCTTTTATTTTCTCGGAAATGTGCGTGTGTGTGAGCTACATGTATTTCGAGTTCCTTTTTCAATAATCCTCATATATCATTGTTGATTTGTCGTTATTTCTTTTTTTTTTACTTTTTCTTTAATAGCATTACTCTCGTCATCATTATTTATGTGCATCGCATTTAGTTAAGTTTATGTCATCATCCCTCTTTTTATTTTAAAAATACTAAAAATTCATACGAAAATCTACAAAAAATACGGGGGAGATTGGGCGTGTACCGTATGTAAATACATGTTGTGAAAGAAGTGTTTGTATGTCTCTGCTATTTATGGTTTTCGGTGCTTAGTGGATGTGGGCGTGACTGTCTGTTCATTCATCTGTCCATGTAGCCTCTCTGAGATCGAGTCGGTTGGAATATGTTTTGAACCGACTCTTGGCCTGTGGGGTCATTGTCAAAGATATTGTCGGTTTCCTACTCGTGTTGTGAAGGAAAGGTCCTGCAGCGAAAAGTACCGTACCCGTGATGGTTCTCAGGGAATCCGTGTGGGTGTATAGGAAAAGGCCAGCGAAGGCTTGGCAAATGGTGGAATTTGTTGGGGTAGTAATGGTGTATTGCTAAACCTTTTGGCTGGATGGATTGAAAAGCGGAGACATTGACTTATCATGAATGACTGGTCATCTTTTGATGACATCTCTATCAGCTGCCACTTGTGACTTCTTTTTTTCTTAGAATTACTTGTTTGTATGTTATTTATCGTCTCTATTCGTATTCTCCCTACTTTTTGGAATCGGCACTCGTCTATTTGGAAGGCTTTTCTTTCTTCTTGTAGCTCTCATATTACATTATTTCATTACAGTAATAGTTTCTAGTAGTAATAGTAGTAGTAGGTCAGAGAGACTTAGCGTGAACCACACTCGTGGGAGGGGGTTGGAATTCTCTTGATTAAACTTCACAGAATGTTTTACTTGTTTGTATTATCGGATAATTCTTTTTCGTTTTTTAAGTAGTGTATTTCAAAAACACTTATTGATTTTTCTCATGAATTGTTTTTAATTGTCCCTTACCATCTTGAACACCTCACCATGTATTTGTCGTCACTGTCTTCTGGCCATGATCCGTAGAGTTAAATTTTTTTTCAGTGTGTTGTACGTGTGTGTATCTACGTAATGTTGAACACACTGTATTGTAGTCGTAGCTGTTGTCGTAGCGTTAAAATGCGTTGTTTTATTAGTTCGATTTTCAACAAATGAATAAATGTGTTGCTTCAATTGCTTGATTTACGTATTCAGGTGTAAGGCGTAGTTGTTCGCCGTTAAATCTACAGCAGGGGGCGAGTTTCATCGAACGAAGCTTTCTTTTTTATTATCCTTACCTTTATCCTCCTATTTTTTTATCGGAAACGGTGCCAGCACGATAGTGCTGTGATATAGTCTTCAATGGGCTCAGTCATTGCGTCCGTTGCGCATTGCAGGGGCATTTGAATGGGTGGTCCATGCATGGAAAGCCATGTTTTCGTTAGAATACGTTGGAGAGTTAGCCGAAATAGGGAGGGTGCAAAGAGGCACATCATATATTCTAATCCGTCGCCTTTCATTTAAACACAGATGGAACCAATTCGTATTTTTCTTCGACCTGCATTAGACATGCTTTTGCACAAAAGGAGTCTAGAAGCTCGAGTTGCACGCTCAACAACAGACTGACAAGAAGACGTTTATCAGAGTCCTAGCGTTCTTCAGTAGTATTAATGGTTCGTGGATGAAGAGCATTTTCCTTCCTTGTTATAGACAGGAGGTAACAAATTTCATAAAGAGGTCTGCGCAAAGTCTGCAATCTTTTGTAGTCACTAGAGCTTTTATGGAGTCAGGGGACCTCTTCCAGCCTGGTGGTGTCTTGATAGCTCTTCATTTGGGCCGTTCTCTGTTAACCAAAGAGGCTTTCAAGCTACACGTGCTCGCTGAACCCTTCCGTAATACATATGACACCTTTTTGTGTGTTTTGGTCAAAGGCGAAGCTCCATTAGTTTCATTTGTTACCTCAACACGGAAGAGTAATGATACAAGGTGTGGCTGCTTCCATAGTCCGCCGGCTGGCCGGCAGGCGAGCCGGCGTGCCGGCGCACTGACGTATAACGAAGTAGTTCGTATGTAAGAAATCTACGTCTGTTGCATTTTATTTCACGGTTCTGACCTGTTCTGGGTGTTTGTACATTCGTGCGATTCGAGCTACGCGCGGCAGGTTGAGCGGCGAATCCCATAGCGATTCTGACGGCTTTAGCGCCTATCATTAGGGCCCAAATTTGAAGTAGAGTAGATTAATAGGATCAGTTGGCCATACTAATCTACTCTACCTCAAGTTTGTGCCCCAATAACAGGCGTCAGAGTCGTTCGAATCGCCACGAGTTTCGCCGCGCAATCCCACGAATGTGTCGTCACCCCCTGTTCTGACTGTGAAGTAAAAAAGCAACGGACGTAGATTTCTTTCATACGAACTAATTTGTTTTACGTCAGTCCGCCGGCCGGCCGGCGGACTATGAAAGCGGCCTGTGTAAAATTATGCACGCCTGAGTGCAAGTTCCGTAGAGAAAATGCTATGGGCGTAGCCAAAATTCATTCCCTGAAGAAAATGACTGAAAATCAGAGACTTTGGTGGGTTGTGTGGTTTAATCTACTGGTAGAGCTCCAATATTCTTGATTACTCTTGAACTATGCAGGCTTTGGGTTTCACCCACTTTTCAAAAGGTAAAACTGGCAGAACTTCACTAGGTTCATCTGAGGTACTGTGCTTAATCCACTGAATCAGGGACGAGGGAATCAGTGAGGAGTGCCAATGGACGATAGCTTCTGTACAAAGGAGCCTCGAATTTTCATCAGTCCAGGGGTGAGTACTGGTTCCAGTGATTCCGGTTTGCACTATCTCTTTTTTGGTGAAATACGGAAAAATGCTATGAGTTGGTTCCGGGATTTCGCAACCACCAACCATTTACAATTCTATCGTTTTTAATAGAATATTCCGTTTTCAAACGTGACAAAAGTGCGATTACACAAATTTCATGCACAATGCGATTGCCGAATGAAATATACGAACGACTTTAATTGAACACCTTGCACTATTACGATTCCGGCTTACGTTAGATGGGCAGGGAAAATATATTTCCGACATTTTGGCAGATTGGGATTTTGATGAGATCAAACCCCGTATAAATATCAGCTCAAGCCAACCGAGTTATCAGTCCTTTACAGGTCCGCTATTTGGCAACAGCACTGAAATGCATGTGGGCTAGTCCTTGCGCGGAGATGGTGTGATAGCAAGTGGCTCCCACATCACACGTATGGTCCGAGGATCGAACCTCATATAGATAAGCGCGCTTGCCTCTTATTTCTCCTGGTCCAATGGTTTCGTTAGATAGAAGCGCTAACTTGTACATTGACTAACTGCCTCAAAGGCCAGTGAATTGGCCGCATACGCATTCAAAGCCCCGTGAGTTTTTGAGTGGAAGCCGAGTGCGCGGCACATTCCAGACCGGTTTTATCATACACTAAAAACTTTTTCTTCAATATTTCTTGTTATGCTCTACTTATTTATGCCCTATTGTTGGAGAGGAGGAATTGGTCACCAGGAAATGATGAATGACCTCAGGATTCTATCCAAAGATTCACCATAGTCCGATCTGGGAGGCTTCAAGCTCGCTTTTTTTCTTGTATCGTGTGCTTACTTTACTGTAGAGCTTTCGACCTTACTGATCATGCCCCGACAATGACCGCTCCTTATCTCCTTTCTTGGGACCGTTTAAGGTTAAGGTTTCCTAGTGTTCCCCAATCTGTTGAGTTGCCTCTATCCCGTCGCAATTACTATTTAGTGGTAAGGAGGAATTGTTTAGTGATCGTTGGCATTCGAAATTGTTTCGCAAATTTTTTATTGGTAAGTATGAATGGCCTTTGAGTAGGCTACATGGGGCATTGATGGTTCGAAATGTGGCGCAGGTAGGGCGCTATAGGGCCTCAAGAACCTGTACCGGCGTTCACTGTCACTCAATACTCCCAAAAAAGACGTGCTCAACTGCCTTGAAGAGGCTGGTATCAATCGAAATGGAACACATTTTTCATAAAACATTCAGGTGATACTGAAAGCATCGGTTGCTCTGCATCGACTGAATGCTCGTCTGAACACCCCTTCAAAACTTAAAGCTCGCCCAACTTTGAAAATGGTCGGATCAGGGAATTGTTTTAGTTAGAGAAGATTTCTGCGAATTTTTTCGTTTCCTCCGCCATCGATGAACTTTTTATCATCAGGTCTTTCGCATTCTGTAATGTAGAGAAAGTGCATGGAATTATCTAAAATTGAATCGACGTAAAGCTCACATTAAAGATGCTGAAAAATTATGGCGCTTTGTGAAGCCAGGGACATAGTTTTAGTTTTCGGCTGAGATTTATTACATCATTTCAGCGAGGTTTAATATACCGGTTAGTTCCGTGGAGAAAACACGCTTGCATCGTCGCGAGTGCGTAAATAGGTTCGGTTTTTTACTACAGATGGAAGACCATGAACTTGGCAAACGACAGGAGCTAGAGTAGGAGGGGACGTAATGGAAGGGTCTGGGCGGTACCTAACAAGTAATTAGGAACCGCTCCATTCGCTCGGAATGGATATAACTACGTCGATACCAGGACCCAGACAAAGTTACGAAGCATTTCATGAAAGTCGAATTATGGTCGGTTATATCGAAGCTCAGTACGGAAGTAGGGTACTACAGGTCTTTCTTCTTCTCCCCTGGTCTCCTCCAAATCTTTCTTCGCCTCATCGTGTCCATCAATGGACAGTAGCGCCACAGTCGGTTTGATAGGCAGCGGCAGATCTTTGCATGTCCCGTATTAGCGAGTTTGCCTTCGAACTCCTCTACGATTCTGAATGAGAGACGGTTGCATGGCGTATCAATCTAACGAGCATAGGAGACGAACATTCTTGTTCATGCCGGAACCAAATCTGTCTGAAAATAGCTGAAAAAGAGCAAAGCGCAACATTTACCCTGAGGAATTCTCAATCGGGCTCTGCTTTGGGTTTCGAATTTGAGTGGGTGGTGGGAAAACTGATACACCCATGACCTTTTCTTTTATTATCCGCAGCCTATTGAAACCTGGGTAGTTCCAAAATCCATTTTGGTTTCAAATTTCTCTAGTGTTTAGAGTTAGCGTCGACAGCCAGGTGCAGCTCGGGGAGATCTACATATCAGTATCACCTTATTAATGTATCTCTTCATGCTGTTTATCATCCTGTTTACTTGTGGATATATAAGTGCTCGTTTAGAAAAAACAAACATTGCCAGGATGGTGGGTAAGGCTCATTTTGTATTTCTTGGTGTTCCTGACTAGTATGTCATGTGCATACCGTATAATCCCGTTTCTCATCCATTCGTCAATGTCATTCGGGTATGATTAGTGATTTGCAGAGAGAGAGAGAGAGAGAGAGAGAGAGAGAGAGAGAGAGAGAGAGAGAGAGAGAGAGAGAGAGAGAGAGAGAAAGAGAGAGAGAAAGAGAAAGGAATCTGATGCCCTCACGTCTATGAATCCTAGACATCCCACCCCGTCTTGATGGGAAGCCCGTTACTCTCCACTCTTCTAGTGACGAGCCTAAACTTTCCAAACTGGTGCATGGGCACGGAAAAGCCTCGGGGATCAGCGTAAATGCATGATCCATCTGTAGCTAAAGCACAACGCATCATTTCCACTCCTCTTCCTTTTTCCTTTTTCAGGAGCTCATTATTAAGTACTGACACTACCTCCTTTATTGGTCCACCAACTCGACCATATTACAGGACAACCACTTTTCCTTCCACACGCAGTCTCCCAGTCGGGAACTATACGGGCAAGTGTGTCAATACTTTTCCACCACAATGTGACGACGAGCTTTGCTACGGTGCTATATTGAGACATTCTGAGGTAAGTCAGTAGATAGTTATGGCAATGTGCCAACGCAAACTTGGAATGCAACCGATCCCAACGTGGTTTCACGTTGTTAAGAATTCAATACCTATTATGATCAGCAGTTCCAAGTAGATAAGTACATGCAGTCTGATCAAACCTGGTAGTGATTTCTCTTCATTCAGGGCCAAGTCTTTCGTCTCGGTTGTTTATCGACGTTGACTGTTGATCAATCATTTGATTGTAAAACAGCATTACTTCTTTCCACATCCAATTCGACTTGTATAGACACAGGTTAGTGGTGTTATTAAAGTCTTTCAGATACCTATGAAGGGGGTAACGGAACTTCTACCCTATCGCGGCATCCTCACTCGCGGCGTGCGGCAAATGTCACTGCAATTACCGTACTCGCCCCGCCTCCCGCCAATCGATAGGACGCGATATTTTTCGTTGATTGGCTTGCTTTTTCATTGGATTTGATTGTTTTTTTTNTCACAAATTGCGCGCTCCAATCTTTCATCGCAATCCTGCGATAGGCGGCGGGTGCGGCGTGTGCGACGCCGTGTTAGGGGAGAAGTTCCCGGACCCCCTATGAAGGTGGCTTGATTGTAGCCACGAGCTCCACCACCGCACTAGTCGTTTCAGAGTTTTCTACTGCGAGTAGAGGGACTCAACATTCCTTTACGTCCTCTTGAATAGCCACCAATTCGATTTCGCACGGGAAAACGACTGTTTTGCCTGGACTTTCACAAAAATTTTAGTTCAGAACACTCGTCTTACTTGGCCATGAAGTCACTCGGAAACCCTATGATGGTAGAACACCTGCGAATCCGACATTGCAAACCATCCCCTGACGCTCCCACAAAGACGTCGGCTTATGGCTGTCTTGAAGGAGATCGTGTTATCATGCTCTAGACGGTGTATAAGAAGAACCCGACGAACTCCAGCGGATATTCCGGTCGGAACTCTCCCATCTGTTGTCTATGGTCCCCACCGTGACTGAAGATGATTGGTAGTCTCAAAATATGTAGAACAGTCCATCCGAGTGCTACACTATCGGGAATAATTTGGCTTTAACACATTTTAGGCGCGACCCCATCTGAAGATAGTAACCACGTAAAAATCTAGAAAGCTATCGTTACTCGTGATTATCGTTTGCACAAACCCTCGAGAGGAAAATCCCTTCTCGTGTTCTTCCAGGCCTTCGTCAAGTTTGTTGCTGCTTTCCGGGCTCAGAGGAATGCAATTCGCTGTGGAAGCCAAAACTGCGTCTAGCTCGTCTGAATGCCGAAGAGGTATTAAGGAACCACTCTCCAGTGCATGAGACTAACCTTTCTACAATCTTTCTTAAACTGAGTTCCACTAAGTTAGATAGGAATCAAGTCTTTGAATCTTTTAGGCGGTTCTGTTGGTACTCAGCATCGTATTAATCCTCTTTATTTTCCGAGGCCTGAATTGGATCCTAAAATTCGCCACCATAGAGTGGGGAAGCGAGATCCCGACCGTTGGTGGCGATAAATTCACTTCGATAGAGCTCAACTTCGGTATCGTCAAGGTAGTACAATCTGTCTGAATCACACTCGAGAGCTACCGCAATTCACTACGACATGTCGAGATAAGCTGTATTTATCAGAAGCGCTGGAGGCGCTCATTGCACGACACTATTCAAATGCAAAGTTGTTGTCGAAAGGGCTCCTGATACCTTTGATAGCTACAATCTGGGAAAACCAAACTATCCTCCATGCATTACTTCATGATGCGCCGTGTCACTATTTTGATAGCTTTAAAGCTGATTTTGCAGGTCATATGTCAATAAGGAGCGGAGGTGGTTTAGTGGCAAGTGGCGCACCATAGCACGGTTAGGGGTTCGAATCACGGATCGATCTTCGCCTGGCCCAACCAGACTTTCCATACCTCCGGGGTCGGTGAATTTGTACCAGACTCGTCTGGGGGGTAAAAACGCTGACTTGTACATCGGCTGGCCACCGCAAGTCATTGTATAGGCCACATGCGCACTCATCACGTCATTACGATTCTGAGTGGAAGTTGTGTGCGGGAGCGCATCCCTCAAACGAGATTGATTGACGCCAAAAACCTTACCCTTTTATGAAGTTGTCGCCGGGAAAACAGTACCGAAATGTTGCAATAAGGACTTGAAACTTGGTTTCCCGCCCATCAGTGGGCGTGGCAATCTAACCTTAATCCATTTGCCCCGTTTTCAGACTGTTTTGACCTCGACGCCATATTTAACTAACCCAAGAACCAAAGTTCTTTCCCAATTTCAAATCTGTGGAACTAACTAAATCGCTCCGTTTTATTCTTTGAGTCTTTAACTGTCTCAATCACTAACTTGCTGATGTTAGCCGCATTCGGAAATGGTATTTTTCTGATTCCTATGTAATTCATAACTTGTAATTAATTTTAATCTGGGCTTCAGACATTTAATCAAAAGTTGTACTTTATTATTCTGTGAAAGAGTTGCTATATCGCCACCTATAGACTTTTCCCAGGGTGAATTCTTCTTCGGTAGCTCTCGGTTCACTTATCAACATAGACTGCTTCACTAACCAGTAATGGGAGTGTTATTCAGTTGATGATCTTGCTAGCATTGCTCATCAGTCTATGGTATCCTATAATACGAGATTGTGAGGACCACATCGAGGGAGTGTTTGAGGAAAAGTATTTTTTCATTGCTCAGGTATGGTTTTGATCAATTAATCAATAACTGCTTTCTGCTTCAATTACGTTGAACCGTATTCTTCAGCTATTCGATTCCTATATGACAGGTCTTTTCTATTGTATCTATCCATTGTTTCTTTTAATGGTGGATATCAATCGGATGCGGTATATGGTATGCGAGTATATTAATTCAGTAGAATAAAAAAAAGTTACTCAAATTATACTTTAGCCACTGGAAATGCTTAGCAATCTGAGCCTAACATTTTTTCCCACTTGATTCTCTGGGCGCTGGGGATTTCTAGAGAGGAGTTCGCTACCTGCCATGGATACATATCGACTTAGGAATCGTAGGAGGTAGGATTGGAAACGAACATTAAAGGCACTGTTCACGAAAAAATGGTTTCGGAGATCTGCGCATGGTTTGAATTCGACGCCCCCTCTGATACCATTTGTGCAGGAATGAGGTCGGAAAACGGTCTGGATTGAGCACACAAGGGCAGGAACAGTGGGGGACGGGAGGCCTCCGCCCCTCGCTAGGCTGACTACGAAATCTAATTGCCGTTCATCACTTTCGCATTGGGCGAAGATGTCTGCTTGGGTGTGTTGTCTGCTATTGCAGACATTGCGTCGCCTTCGTGCACTCGCCCGAACACTCCCTTAACCCCCGTTCTTCCAATGTGAAACTCGTCCAACCCCCCTTTCCAGCTCTTTTTTGACCCTTTCTATTTCTTTTTGTTCATCGTTTTTTGCGCTTTTTTCGTTGTTATCGCTTTATTCTAGAGTATTTCTATGGATTCCCGTCAAAAAAGGTTACCCTAAATTTATCGTAAACGGTGCCTTTAAGGAGGNGAGGCCTCCGCCCCTCGCTAGGCTGACTACGAAATCTAATTGCCGTTCATCACTTTCGCATTGGGCGAAGATGTCTGCTTGGGTGTGTTGTCTGCTATTGCAGACATTGCGTCGCCTTCGTGCACTCGCCCGAACACTCCCTTAACCCCCGTTCTTCCAATGTGAAACTCGTCCAACCCCCCTTTCCAGCTCTTTTTTGACCCTTTCTATTTCTTTTTGTTCATCGTTTTTTGCGCTTTTTTCGTTGTTATCGCTTTATTCTAGAGTAGTTCTATGGATTCCCGTCAAAAAAGGTTACCCTAAATTTATCGTAAACGGTGCCTTTAAGGAGGGTCAGCCCATCAGATATGGTCTTGTTGGTGGATATCATGATCTCTTGAGTGCAAGACTCCTATTCCTCTAACCAGTAAAGGTTTCGGATGCGCTGAGGCAACCAGCTTATAGGTAGTAAAATGTGCCTGAGAAGGTAAAGTAGAGACTGCTGGAAGTAATGAACCTATTCCTTGCAACTGACCTCGGTTCAATGAGAAAGGTCCTCCACCAACAGCGTGGTTACCGTCCAAGCAAGTAGTGATCAACGAATGGCGAGAGCGCAGTAATCCAGGTATCTCCGCCCCTAGCCACCGTCACCTTCGAGTCCACAATGTAAGATCAGTTAGTTCAGTTGAATCAGAAGCTCTCAGCGAAAATGGTGGCATGGTTGTCATATGAATCGCTGTAGCACGATAGTGATAACAACTCCGCTTCCCATCAGGCCTTATCCTCTTCGTACGCCTAGTTCCGCCGATCCAAAACCCATTCGTCTTCCTTTCGTCCTTGAAATTATTGTTGCACGAGGAACTCAGGTCTTTGCAATTTTCAGGCGATGCGATTCATTATTTGCCGAACAGCTCACACCTGTATATCGCTAGTTACTGCGCTTTTCGCCTTGGTTCCATTGGCATTGTTTACCTACCAAAGTTTCCATGTGAGTTATTGATTTTATTCATTCCTATTGTGGCAGCTTTATCGATTAGCCTGTTCACGCGTCATTCTCTTTGATATCAAAATACTCAATTAAAGGGGTTCTGGAGAAATTCGTTCGCTCCGGCAGTAGATAGCGATGCCTGACTTAGAGCGGGAAGGAGGCGTTAAATAATTCGTGGGGCATTAGGTCCTTTTTTGACCTCGTGGCTTACCTAGTTGTATCGTGCACTGTTTGCCAATATGAACAACATCTGTACTGAAATCTAAGATCTTTCGGTGTTGAACGATCTGATCTTACTTGTGGGACGCATTCACTCCCACTCCCACTGCAGTCACTTCCATTTAGAATTGTAGTGACATTTGGAATGCGTTTGGGGTCCATACTATGACTGGCGATGGCCGACAGATGTACAAGTCAGTGCACACATACTCCCAGAAGAGTCCTGGTCATTTATGCTACCATGGATGGATGGAGTACTTGATTGGCCTGGGCGAGTATCGATCTAGGATTTGGTCCTACGACCACACTTATAATAGTACGACTCTTGGCACTACCTACGCCCTGATCCTTTAGGCCCATTCTTATGCCATAGCGTTTTCCGAAGTTATGTACTTGTACAGTTCTTTTCAGTTGTACCGTCAGGAGAAGGAAGTTAAGTACTGCAAATTGAGAAAACAGTGGAATCGTCTAGTGGTAGGGATTAAGCTTGCAAAATTACCTTTTTTCGGGTATTACAAAGTTGGCACCAAGAAAATAACATAAAGGACAGTCGTGCTCGTTCACACGCTCTCCTACCTAAGTATTACTACTAATCCTAGATTCGAATTCAATTTTGAAAAATTCATTCAACTGGAATGTGGCAATTCGTCTTTCTTTCAGCTAAACAGCGTAGCATACTTTATCTACATTGTTATTGTGTTGGCTCAAGAAGGTGTACAATTCATGTTCACCCAAAGGAATAATCCTGGAGGTGATGACAACACTATGAATTCGCCTGAGCAGCAGATCTTCAATGAGAGCATCAGGTGAGCCTGTGGGAAGGGAGCTCTTCAGTCCCAGTTGAGTTTCAGTGTATGAGAGTTCATTCAAGGAGACTGTATAGCGAAGTCGTGATTAATTTTGTTCTTGTGGAGTAGGATTCACAATTCATTCCCTGATAGTTGCTTGATGTCTTTCGAACATGAGAGCCAGCAAGGCGTTTGAAAGATACTATTGATTGTTTTGAGTGTCGCACCGCGACAAGCGACGCAACAGAGCATCGCCCGCCAGCTGCCTTTGACATTGAGTGAAGTGTTGAAAAGCGTAATAGTTAGCGCTTTAAAACACTGGACGGGATCTCGTTAATGTTGGGTTTGCTGTAAATGCTGAGAGGTAAATCCTTCCTCACCAGAGGACACGGATACTTCGATTGGAGTCTATAAAGGGAACGTATGAGTATGTATAGCGGAGAGAAGAATAAAAGTATTATCCCTCTCCATTTCGCTACGAAAAAAATGCACTCGTAGCAATGTAGGAGGGCAATCCCGAAACGAGCTTCCATGAAATTCGTTTATTGGAAACAGTAAATAATTTTACAAAAGTTATGTACACCAGTCTTTATATCATCAGTAAGTCAATCAATATGGAGATTCAAAACTGTCTTGTACTACTTCTACATATCAGACATTATGGTAATCCGCAGTGGTCATTATATCCCTTTATTATTAAATTTGAGAGGAACTATTTTTGAGATTTTCTCCTAAAATTACATTTGATTACGAATCCATCTCTTCAATTGTTGCCCCGCCCCAAATGGGCGTGTCGTGCTTTAAAAGATTGTGATTGGTTAGCTATGTCAAGACATAAGAAAAGGAAAACTTTACCAGTTCAAGTAGTGCTGACAAAATCGAACACGTACATCGCTGGATGTCAAAGTAATATGAACTGGTAAAAACTTGTCTCATCGTGTAGTTCTTTACGTTCTTCTCGTCCTATAGTCCCAGAATCAAGTGCAGTGATGAGAAAACTCGTCCTTTTCGAACTCCTTCAGTTTTTGTTCCTGGTCGAACACTTACTTCTCCTACTTCAAGTTTTACTCTCTAGTTACCGAGCTCATGTCTATCTTCTCAAAAAATTCCGAGTTATGATAACTATCACTTTCAGAGAACAAATAGAAACTGCTAAATCAAATACTATCGTAGAAAAAGAAGAAGTTCTACGTATTACCCCAAGGGTACGACTCGGAATAACTTCGTGATTATACCTTTATTGAGTGAAGTTCTGTTTTGTTTAGCCTTTCATTATCGACAATTCTGGAGAAGGCGTTTTGTCGTTAGAAAATTTAGATCCTTGTGAATGGATTACTGTAAGGTGAGGATACTGTAGGAACTCGATCCGTCACTGAAAGACTGCTCGCTCATTGATTTGGTAACGTATACAGAGTCTTAATTTCGGCTCCTCGTTCGTATGCAGTTCATCCTCAAAAAGTCATCATCCCACCGCATCGAAGCTCAACTGTAAACGTTCCTCTTTCTTTCCTTTCCCCTTTTCTCTTTCTTTTCATTTTTCGTTTTTGTTTTCGTTTTATCGCTTTCCTATTCGCAGAACTGTTTGTTTTAAGATCTCCGTTCGTCTTCGAAATGATGTCGAGATTGAATTAACACGAGAATCAGGCTTGATGTTGCAATGGTGAGCCTTCTCGAGAATATCTAAGGGCTATGAGATCTCAATGGGAAAGGTGTTGGTGTTTTTCTACAGAATCTCTCAACATTCTGATTACCCCCATTCCGGCGTACAGGGGATATCTCCTGTCTCGAAAAGGGAAGGAGATCAACAGTGAAATACCTCTAGGTCGCGTAAAGTTCAGGAGGAAAAGTGCAGGGTAACAGCTGGCATTCCGATTTCTGCCACAGTCAATCACATCAAAAACTGCGCCATGTATTTGACGTCCTTTCGAAATCCCAGCATTTGAAGGCTCGTTTATTCCCAGTAGAATGGCATAAGATGGGTCGTAGTAGTTTCAGAAGTACGACTATGAACCTTTGAAAAATTCAAGGATCATCAGCTTGGACGGAAATTCGCTCTGAATTCGAATTACCCTAACTTTGAATAGAATTTCTCTTCCATTCTTTGCTGCTTCACTCCTGAATGGGGATGGTGTATTCGAAGTAAAGGGCAAGGTAAAAGTATAGTTCAGAGTACCACGCTCTGAACTTCCATACAAACCCATGGGAAAGTTTGAAAGGCAGGATGCATGAACGAGTATTTGCGGAGCCAATTTTCACTGCATACTGATTTTATTCTTACCGTGCCCCTTCCTCCTTAACCTTACCTACCCATAGCTGCCTTCCCATTACCTGGTCTTTAAGTGTGGTACCGGCTACCACCCGATATCAGCATTTCCATCTCTTCAACGTGGGTCTTGTCTGAGCTTAACGGCCTCAAAGGATTGCTTTGGATCAGTTCAGTTGTTTTGGTGGTGTAAGCATTACAAATCTAAGCTAGCCTTTACCCAGCTGAGACTTAGAAACGTTTTCCTACATGTCCGTTACGTAGCCTTACCCAGCCATTGAGAGCGAAACCAGTCGTACACCCGAGTCAACATTTTTTCTCCCCANAACGGCCTCAAAGGATTGCTTTGGATCAGTTCAGTTGTTTTGGTGGTGTAAGCATTACAAATCTAGGGTAGCCTTCACCCAGCTGAGACTTAGAAACGTTTTCCTACATGTCCGTTACGTAGCCTTACCCAGACATTGAGAGCGAAGCCAGTCCTACACCCGAGTCAACATTTTTTCTCCCCAGCGTGATTCTGGTGTAAATCTACCGATCTCGAAGGTAAGCTGGCTTTGTTTTCACTGGGTGGCATTCGATCCCATGAATAGCGCAAGTGTGTTGTGGCGCTTTTTGCAGTTGTATCCTCAGTAATGGATTATGGATTGTATGAGAAGAACTGAGACGACCTGAAAGAAGCCTCTACTTCAATTCAGGTTTTCTGTGGGAACAAATTGTCCAGGCGTTGATGTGACACGGTTATGGCAACGACCGTATATTAAGCCACGAAAATTCTGGTATTTCTATGTGTTGCCGATTTTTCACGAATCTCAAGAGGCCTCCATGGAGACAGCCAAACCAGCAAGCATCGTTGGCTGAAGGAATGCGGTCAATCGAACGTCGTAATCATTAAAACATTGTAAACTTTGATCTGTCGCAAAAAGTCCTGATTAACTCGATTCCATGTATAAATGATTTGTAAGGGAATCAAGTTTATAGGTGTGAAGAATTGAGAAAGACAGAATAGAAAAGATGCCGAAATAATCAAAATCGGACTGCGTCAAAATCATGAAATGTTTCGGGAAATGTAATGGTCAACTATACAAATGGGCCACGCTTTCTACTTTGTCGAAAAGCGTAGTGGCTTTGAAATGCACATTTGAANGCAAAAAGACCTGATTAACTCGATTCCATGTATAATAAATGATTTGTAAGGGAATCAAGTTTATAAGTGTAAAGAATTGAGAAAGACAGAATTGAAAAGATGCCGAAATAATCAAAATCGGACTGCCAAAATCATGAAATGTTTCGGGAAATGTAATGGTCAACTATCCAAATGGGCCACGCTTTCTACTTTGTCGAAAAGCGTAGTGGCTTTGAAATGCACATTTGAACTCTGCAGTATTTTTGGTGATCATTCATTTTGGTGAAAGCTGGCAATCAGTCAAATTTCAGGGTATCCTACCCTCCAAACCTACGCACATCCATCCCAATATTTTTCTTATCAGGACCGGGACATTACTAGTTCAAAATGGTCGGTACCATTTGCAGAGTTCACCGGTCAGTAATAAGTGTAGGGTAGGAATAGCAGGTAGAAGCTGAGCTCTACGATTGAACAGGCCTCACGATTTTTTTTTATGACTTATGAAACTGAAGGTGTTAGATTGTATCGATAGAGAATGGGTTTACCCAAATCTCTCCTATAGAGTGCAGAGGTGCCGAAAAAACGGATAAGAAAAGATTCTGGCAGGTAGAATATTCGATTTCTGACGCTGGGCGAAGGGGAGAACGTCCGTTGCGCGCGTCCGTTAAAAGTAGGTCACCCCGCCCACTTCGCACGCGGCGCACCCCACCGAGGTTTCAAGAAGACATTACAGTACCACCAAGTGTCAGTGGAGCGAATGACTTGCATTTTGTCGTGTTATCTTATCTTTTGGTTGGATGCCGCGCCGATGCCAAGCGCAATTCGTATGCCCCACTGACAACTGCGACGTTTGTCAGAGATCGCGGCTGATCCGCCGCATGCGACGGCTGCGGCATGACCTAGTTTCGACGGACGCGCGCAACGAAGCGCACCCGGGCGAAGGGACAAAGAAACGCGGCGACTAACAAGTACATGCCGTACATCGAGGCAACTAACTAATGGTACGAATTGGGGCACTTGTGATCGCTGTTATACGTACACCTGGAATGCCAATATTCTGCAATGGAATTAGCATAGATTTTTTTGCAACAGGATAAAACATTGGGTAAAACTTCAACTACAGTTTGACCGCCATTTGCTGATCTGATCTGGTTACGGTAGCGCTATTGATCTACTGTCAATGCATTAACACGTCAGTACACGTCCAGCATTCATCGATTCGCTTTCACTCCCTTTAACGTTCTTCATTGATTGACTGTGTATTGTTTTCTTGGTTGTTTTGTTTATTTTTGTTTGCGACTTCAGTTTGCCAATCGTTAAAAGTCATTTTTCGTCAGTCTCATTGTCTGCCACGCTGGCAAACCCTCACTGTTTTTTTAATTGAAATAATTCATCATATGCTATTTGAAAAGACTTTCCTATGGCTATATGGTCAGATGGTAGTTTGGTATGCAGTTTAGTTGCGAAAAACAAATTGTGCCGCTCAAGAAATTGTCTTCATTGGAATCTGGTGCTTGTTAACTATGTCTTGCTATTAATCGGGCTCCACTAGAGCGGTATGAAAGCAGCTGACAAGGTTTCTCAGTGTTTAAGAAGATAAGTAATGGAAATTAGTCAAACAGCAGGAAAAAAATGAAAGACGTTTGGAATGTTGGTGGAAAATGCCCTTTAGAGGAATAACGTACGATGACAGTAAGTTTGATGGAGGATCAAGGGAAATAAAGCGTTAAACCTGAACCATTCCCGGAAAACGTCCGTTGCGCGCGTCCGTTGAAAGTAGGTCACCCCGCCCACTTCGCGCGCGGTGCACACCACTGAGGTCTCGAGGACGACATTACAGTACCACCAAGTGTCGGTGGAGCGAATAATTTGCATTTGTCCGTGTTATCTTCTCTTTGATTGACTGTCGTGAACCATGCGCAATTCGTATGCCCCGCTGACAACTGCGACGTTCGTCCAAGATCGAGGGCTGACCCGCCGCATGCGGCAGCTGCGGCGTGACCTAGTTTCGACGGACGCGCGCAACGAAGCGCACCCCCCATTCCCACTTGGTTGCTTTCACTCGCTGAGAAAGTATACGAGGTACTTGGTTATCAACGAGGCATCTACCGATATGGGTACAGGATTTCCCACGACGGTTCGTAATCGGTGCCGTCAAATTCGTACTTCGCCGATCATTTTTTTAATATGGAATAATTTAGGGAGTGAGTGAGCACTTCTAAGCGCGTAAAACATTTTGCGCACAAACTATTGCATTTCCTTTTCATTTTCCCGGGATAGGGCTGCTGCTTTTTACCAAGTATCAAGCGTTTGAGTGGTTAGGCAGCTTATCCGAGCGCCTGTGCTGAACGAGCTTCTGCTTAGTTTTTCTGAAGTTTTCGTTTCGTGTTCGTTTTTGTTATCATCGAGACATTCAACCACCCAATCTTCATTAAATTACCCAGTTCGAGTACTTAATGCAAGCTGCCTCTTCAGCTACAGCTGCTCAATCATGCGTACTATTTGATCAATTTAAATTAAATTATTAGATAATGAATTTGTAGAACTTCCCGTATCGCACGTGAACCATGTCGTTGGAAAACCATTCAGTGTACAGGAAGTTGATGTGTACCAGTACTTGTTTTTAATAGGTCACGTAGTTTGTAACTTGTCCAAATGGAAGGAACCGGTTCATTTTGCATGCAGAACATGCGATGATACGATTCCGGTCATACAGGAATGTCACAAAAACTTTTCAGTCGGGAGGGTTGTACGGACAGAGGAGGGTGACATCCTCTTGTACACCTGTGCCTTCAATCAAGAATCAAGAATCACGTTTAATAGCTTATTATGTGGCAATAATCAGTGAAAAAGGTCAAGCTTGAAACTCAAGCTCATCATTTCTATTCGGGATTCAAAGATCATTGAATGAATAAAGTCATTAGTCGACTCCGATAAAATTCGAAGAAACGTTCTTTCGAACTCCAAACTTAGTGGTCATCCTATCGAGACTCCAAACGCCTTTTCCCAACTTTTACTTGTGTTTGACTGACTTTACTGGTTTGAGGGAACCTTTGTAAACTCGTCTCTGAATTATAAGAGCAAAATGCATCCAATTCTTTCTTATTAGTTATTGACCAGTCGAAATGCCCTGCTCACTCAAGCTCTCCTGTTCTTGTAACAAAGTGACCGGCTGGTCTCAGCATTCCACTTTGGAAGAGCAAAGCAGAAAAATGTTTAGCAGGTCGATCACACAGCAATTAAATGCTGGTCGATATTAATCGCTATTACTGTAATGGAGTTTCCATTGAGTCTCTTCTACTGTACACAAATCCTTCAATGTTGCATAACTGTCGCTAGACCTGTCTGAATATTTAAAGGTGTTTATTCGGCCATCGGCTAATTCTACGACTCACTGTTTACGCCATGTACATGTATGTGCCGAACACAGTTCGATGAAATTCAGAGGTCCACAACGATTTCATCGGAGCTTAAAGGCACAATTTACGATAACTTTGAGTACCCTTTTTAGGTTGAAAAGCAGAAGTGTTATGTAAAGGAGTACACCTGTGGCGAAAAAAGCAAGAAAATTCGCTTACTTCAAGCCCCTTTTAAAGTAGTGGAAATGGAGGTTGTACGAGATCACCGTGATGGGAATGGCATGTAAGGGGTGTTTGGACGAGACTTAACTTGCTTTCATTGCGCAAAGAGATGACTACATCAAGCCGAAATTGTCCCAAACTGCTTTTCACTGTCGGCACGAGTCATGACATGTTGTTTGGACTTCCTACACGGGAATCTCTTGAGTAGCATTTGCAATGCCGTTGAAACTCGTCCTCTATAGGTGTGACACATTCACACGATACGATTTCTGCCCCTTATTGTACCCTATCCAGGATGTTTTTCGACCTTATAACGGCAGGTATGGTATAAGGGGTGCTTTAAACTCATACTATGGCAAATTCTTAGAAACCGTTTACCGTGAGCTGTGCCTTTAAGCTTGCTGCGCATCCTTAAATAGCAGCAAGGGTCCCNCATTTTTCTACAGAGGGAAATAAAGAAAATCAACAGGAGAAGCGAAAAACTGGGTTGAATTCCAAAAAGTCGGACGAGATCATACGCCATTCCTGCTCGATGCGATAGAAAGTCGACAAAAACGTTACGTAACGTGCTTTCGCTAATCATAGGCGACAGGCTTGGAGCGGGTTTTGCATGGAAGTCCCGGAAAATGGGCGGTCCTAACGGGGCACTGGGTCAGTGGTGTCATCAGTTCGTCACATGTCTAATCTTCTGTAAATGGGACGATTTCTGAACCTTCTCATCGTTCTTCTGGTCGACGTCAGCTTGGCAAAAATCCATCGTTCACGCCATCTACACAAGCCTCATCGAGTATGCACTGAACCACCAACATTGGTATGTTTATGTTTACTGACAGGGATTTTAAAGATGCGCCGTGTTTTCAAATTTTACTTAGAAGGTCATAAGTCCTTGAATGCTCAGTTGATCTTTACAATGGTTGTAAGGGCCGAGACAAGTGGGAGGCACAATTTTTACCATCTCAGGCGGGTCTCGTTTAAAGTAATCAATTTGTAGGCATAGGTGTAGAGGGTCTGATGGGCCTTCAGAAAAATCAGTTTGCAGACACCTGGAAAGCGTCACCTTCTGGTGGCATCTCATGCGATATTACCTCACCCAAGGACATTTCAAATCCTGTACTGGCTGGATTTCAACCTTTCATCTCTTGAAAATTCTCCCAGGCGCATGCGCCACACTTATATGATCAACCAGACTCGAGCTCCTTTTTATAGCAATTTCCAGTCCCTTTCCTAATTCATTGATAAGAAAGGATGGATGCCGACGGTGTATGACCTAAAAAAGTTGAGCGGATCTCCAGTTGGATCGTTGTTGTTATCGTGTGAAAATCCCAGATCTTAGAAGTTGGATCGATCAAATTCTTATACATTGTAATAAATAAAAGCCGATTAATGAAGAGCTGTTAATCGTTGGAATCTATTTAGTATCGTCTTCGAATTTGGATGCGTTCTTTACTTGTGCAGTAACTTTCTCAGGAGCTTCACAAGGCCTTAGGGATCTACTTCTCTTTCCCAAATAGTCAACCATGAAATAAAGAAGATGACTAGAGAAAAATTACACGTCCTAAGGAAGAACAGGTGCACAGATGAGCCCTTGCTATGAGATTCTTTTTCTTCAACCGTCTTCCAACAAATTGAGGACTTTGTGGAACACCCTTCTCCTCCTCCACCCGGTCACTGCAATTTTTCTTCTGAATTTTGAACTCATTTGCACTAGTTCTGTGCCCTTTTGACCGTCTACCTGTAGTCTCCCTTTCGTCCGTGGCGCCACCACTTTATGTCAAAACAACTTATCGAAGAGACAGTTGATCCGACCGCAATGCCATAATATCATCCAATGTATGATCGCTATATGCTTACAAGACGATGTTGTGGGAACTTTCGATCCCAACTATATCCATCTTCTCGCTCCTTTAATGTATGTAGTGGGAATTTTGTGTTGAAGTTACCAGAGAAGTCTTCTCAAATTGCTGTAAATGCCATAATTTTTTCCAGACGTCTGGAATATCGTGTAGGCTTGGTGTAAGTTTAGAGATCTTTGTACCTTGATTTAAAAATTCAGAGCGATGATCTGGCTGCATGGATGCGCGAATCGCTTGGAGGGGTGGGTGGTGAGCTAGACGAAGAATGGGCCCCTCCTACAGCAGAACCGCCGATTTGTAAGCGATCTCCTCGTGCAGAAGGTGATACATCTGTGATGCAGAGAGCTATGTGCCCATGGGAATCAAGGTCGGTCACACTCTTTTAGTTGCAAACAACACCGCATATACACTTAATGTTCAGGGTGGACTTTGACGAAGCACGCGAGCCGAAGATCGTTTCTGAAGCGGTATGTCTGTGTCGTCGAAGTCGCGGAGCCAGTGGGGCATTTTGTCTCCCAATCAAAAGAGAGGTGAGGGTCGATTTTTATTTCAATTTCACTCGATGATAGTTCCCCGATACTCGGAGACTCACCTGTAGTCGGTCCTCATTTCTACTTGTTTTTTGAACTTTCCTATCGCGTTTGCGGTCAAATGAAAACAGTTTTTTTCAACTCCTTGAACCGTCAGTCTTCTTTCCCACTGGAGTAACGCATGACGGGAATTGCCTTCCATAGTCCTCACTAGCTTCAATCTGTAGGTCACAGCCAAGATAATCACTCTTATGAAGAGATTCATCTCAGACTCAGCGACAGAAAAAACCCTGGTATTGTAACATAAGAGAAATCAAAACATTTTATTAACATTTAAGTTTCTGTAACTTCTTGGAGAGGTCGCTGTCAGATCAACGCACAAAAAATAAGTATTGATTGCCTTCAAACTTCCCTATGCCCATTTTGCAGTTATAACTGCCTACATTACTCTCGAGACTTTACATTATTACTCTAAACCGCGCACTACAGCCAAACACTCAATCGCTGATTCGCTGACTTGAACCCTTTATGTTATTCCAGATTCTAATTTTGTCATACCTTAGCTTTGTTACTCTCTGGTTTCTATGAATTTCAGTAAAACTTAAAAAAGCAATAAAATTAATGGAAATAATAAATGAACTATGGATATCAATGGTAACATTTTCTAGGTGCCAGTGTTACGTAGGGTATCCTGTAATACTGACACCGGCTACTGGATCTACGAACGCAGCTCGCAGTCGATCACGGTAGGATGTCATTCGGTCCTACCACGAACCCAACGAGCAACAGCGTTGACACACCACTACCGGAAGAAGGGCAAAGAACCGACATGATCGTGCCTTTTCTTTCGAAAACTCTCTTTTTCCCTCTTATTCTTAATTAATAAGTGCTTCTCTGGACTGAATAGTTTGGTCCCAAACTGGACAGATAGGACAGCCCGAACGTCATTTGTGGGTCTTTCAAATATTACAGTTCTTTCGCTTCTTTTACGGGTATACTGAACCACTTGGTATTTCACTGATTTCATGGGCATATTGATTGATAAACTTTTATGACAATGATTAATTTCAGAGCATTTCTCAAGGTTACTTTACGTTTGAAAAGAATGTAAGCGCTATAAAGAAAAGACAACAGTTTCTGTCTGTGCAAATGGTAATTGTTTACAATTAGCGCAGTAGTTCATGGTGGAACCCTTGACTTCAGATATGCTCACAGAATCTTTTGTTCGACTCATTAAAGAAGCAAATGTCTTCTTTCCCCCTCACAGCGCAAATATCTATCTTTCCCTTTTGTTCCTTGATTGCTCACATAGTTCGAGGGAATCCTTTACAAAATAATGGCGCACAAGATCAGTAGGAATAATCAAAGGAGTTGCACCCTTGATAAAGGATTCTTTCAGGTTGAGATATTTTCTCTTTCCGTATGAAACTGCTTTCCTTCTTTCTTATCCCTCGAGTCGGCTGTTTTTGCGTTCTTTAGAAGCCCACGCACAAGCTTGCATACGTTTGTCCCCAATTCACAAAGTTTCCTTCCATCCCATCATGCCTACAATCAGAATAAAGAAAGAGTTCAGGGCGCATTCTCAATTTTGCTCGTCCTTGAATGGAATCGTGTTGTTTCAATTAGAAATATGTCTCTATTTATTAGTCATTATTTATATACATAATCATATACAGTTTTACGCCTTTAAATGGATGAGCTCTTTCTGGTGAAGATTTCGAATGGATTTTGCTATGACTTTAGCACTTGACATCAGATAGCCACCACTAGTTACCATCGCGATCGGTGTTGTGTTCTCCTTGCATAGACGGAATACCAATTCATCGCGACGTACGATGCACTAAAAATAGGAGTGTAAAGAAGTATAAATGGGAAAAACTGAGACTCAAGTTGTGGGCGATGAGCTAAGAGAACTAAGGCTTCATTAGATAGTCCAACGCCCGGCATGCCCCCTCACTGCCGGCCACGCCCTAACTCGCCTCCCCTTTTCCTAACTCAATCTCCAGCATAGCAGCGAACCTCTTCACTCAGGTTGAGGCAGCCCAACGGATCGTCTTCCAAGCTATCTGTACCCGCGTTGTATAGCACCAAATCACACTTGAACTCGGCCAGAGAAGCTGCCAAATTCTTTTTGAGCAACCTTAAAATTCTTTCTTAATCTGAGGTTTTCTAGAGACACCTACAAGACTTGAACATCAAACGGCACCACATTCACAGGTTTTAATAGCCTTGAATAAGTCTTCGAAACGTAAATGCGGGTCCAGAAAAAACTGGCTTGGAAATCTAAAAACCTTGAAGACTTTTTCAAGACTCAAATTGAAGTAATTTCATGTTTGAACACTCTTGTAAATAAAGTATTGGCCTTAATTTCCCAGTCTTGAGGGCCGCCCTATCACACCCACCTGAGATATTCCCTATCGGAAGTCATCGAACCAACATGTACCGATCGCGAAATACCCTCTTCAGCTTTGTGATCTCGCGGATAAATACGTGGATTGTAAATGTCGAGAATAAATACACGCTCATCATCACCAAAGTCACGTTCATGTCCATTACCCTGAAATATGGTAAGGTAATGGTAATATGTTTACAAGCATCAATACTTGGCCGTACTTTCAAGTCTTAGGTTGATACAAACGCGGATGCACGTTTCATAATTTTTTACAATTTTATTTAATACCTCCTAATTGAACTGTGTAATCACCATAATTTTCTGTGACAGCCATCAAACAAGGGGCGAGTTGACTAGTCGCTTCGTTTGAAAGAGGAGCGTTGTCAGTCAAAAAAGGTGGCCACAACTTTTTGTGGTCACCAAGAGTTTTCTCGAGAAGGTAATGTTCGAGAACTACTTGCCCGAAAAGGTGATTATTGAAGACGCAAGGTCTTTTTGGTTGCTTTTCTTGGATTGAATAAGCTAGCCTCAGAAGGTGAATGCTGTTCTATCTTAGACTGCACTAGCGGATTTTTTCTCGTAGGAAGACGACCTTCTTGTTGTTCGCGGAGAGGATCGGCTTTCATACCCGAAACCACTAGGCTCAGCAGGAACTTCTTTCCACAGGGTGTGAGGGGGGCAACTGGACGTTCGAGACGGACGGAGACGGAGATCATCGGATAATTGGTGTGGTATCACCGTGGAAGAACTTTTCCGTAAGTGCTCGTGAAGTTGCTGTAATCGCCCGAGCAGCTTCGCCGAATCTTCATCGATAGTTCCTATCATCTTCTTCAGTTCACTGGGATATCGGTCATCACCTACATCGACCGGTCGTCCACACGAGGGTCCTCGTCGAACATCTTATCTCCAGAATGAAAGCGGGCGAAGATCGTATGCCAGGCGAAGCTCCTTCCTCCTGTGGCAGTGTTGATGTTGTACAATGTGTAATTGAGCGTATAATTCCCGAAAGTCAGCCTTGGCCCTTATATGCTCACCCTTTCGGATAATTTGGGGCAGTAGAACAAATACCGGAAAGGGAAAACACTTATGTTAGGACAAAGGTCGAACTGTGCACGTCTTTTAGAAATTTGAGTGTGGGATGATACGCTCTAACTTGTTGTGACTGCTCAAAGGAACGCGTGAAAAAATGTGGAAAGGTCCATAGATCAAGGCCCACTTTTGGGATTGGCCTCATATCCGAGGTCCCCCTAAGAACAAGACTGGTATTGGTTATGTACAGTAGCGCTCAAAAGTCTTCGGTGAAATGCTTTGACGATTTCTCGTTCATAACTTTTTTCTTGGTGGACCAAGTCGCGCAAAATTTGGATATGTCTAACTAGAGCATATTTCACCCTACCCAACATTATTTGACTGCAAAGCTGCAATATCCACAGATAGAGCAAGGTGTTCGTTGCGGTAGCAGATTTTGCTGAAAGTAAAGTTGTTGACGTCTGCTTTTATTCGTACCTTATGTGCGTTTTTCTCATTTATTGTGTTGGGCGTTATCGCTCGTACACTTTAGACGGGACAAAAAGGAAAGAGATTCTAGAAGGACCATCATCTGTATTTTCAGCAGGAAAGGAGTTACGACTGAAAAGTACGGCTGAAGAACCCTTTCACCGAAGACTTTTGAGCGCTACTGTACATGGTCTTTGTGGTGATTATAATGAAAAGCATATGCAGGAAAGAAGCATCTTTCACACTTTTACATAGATCTGGGATCTACTGAAAGGTCCTGGTTAGACAGATATCATGGGCGGTTTGGAGGGGTCAATCTTCGAGTCGGTCTGTTGGCTTGTTCTTTCCCTACCATTTACTCAGAGCAGAGGTGGATTGGTGGATATGGTATGTGGTATGGCCACACAAGATTCCACCCCTCTCCCTTCGGCCAGCTGCTATCAAAGAGGGTCTGAAGTGATTGACCCTCTCATCATCTTTCGAATATATGTGTATCAAGGCTCACCCTTCTTAAAAGCAATGGGCATGATGAGTAGACTACCTCAAAGTCACAGGTAGCACTGTTCTCACAGTATTCGAACGGTCATAGGAAATGGCGTACCTGATGAGCGTCTACATCGACTATCATGGCCTTCTCTATGAGTTGTAGTGCGAATAGGATCTTTAAAGCAAGTGAAATATCTGCATATACACAAAAACCGCCTCCATTAGTTCCTGAAAAAGGAAAAAATCAGAAAAACTTTAAAAAAAAATTGGATGGCGTGGGTAATGCTAATTGGACCCGATTAGAATCACTACACGATACAGCAGCAGAATCTGGGAGTCAGCTGGAAATCTGTTGGTGATACGCAATAGCTATGTAGCTATGTTGATAACATCCAGGTTGGCCCAAACAGGCTTGGACCCTATTGCTAAAAATTATGAACGTTGTTTTGTCAAGGTTTTGGAATCGCTGAAGAACAATGGCTTCTTCCTGTATGTTTGTGGCATGATACCTTCATCCCCTGAATGTTGTGACGATGCTATCGATAGTAACCGTCCAGTATGGAAAAGTTAAAGAATCTTTTTTGGGACAAAAGGGGTTGTATTTCATATAAAGAGGAATAAAAACATGTTCAGTATGTTGTATTTCAGCTACGCACTCATGCAATATCTCGAAAGTGTAGCGCCCAGCAACCATTTGGGAGTTGAAAATCGGCTAAGTGGGGCATAGCAATGTCCCTCTCTTCTTTAATCCAACCCTCTGTGCCTCCACTAGTACAGGTTTTATTGTACTGTTTGCATGAGTAGCTCATAGGCCCATGAGTCAGGCCTACGAACGGACCAAGTCTGAAGGAGCTCATGCTCGTGTCACCACTGCAATCGTTCTCGGAACTCAGTCTTTGAGAAACTTCAGAGAACCCACGATAAGCATGATGAAATCCTCCCCCGAGATGTATAGCCCAGTTCCGATCGAGAGCTATTCGGCAAGCAGCAACGGTACCGCCCACTTGGTACCTGAAACCTTATCGTTCTTAGTAAAAAAGAAAACAGTTAGGAAGCTGTCAACCAGCTCACCTCATACGCTTTAGAAAATACTTGTCAGTGATACAATGTGGCAGTAGGCAGGCAACTGGGACTTCTACGACTTTGGCTAGTATACATGGTGAGTACAGACTTCCCAAGTAACTAAATATTGTAACCATCATTATAACACATGAGAGAAGATTTTTACTGAGATTTTTTCAATTACGTTCATGCATGCACTATATCGAATCTTCAGTTGACTTGATGTGAATTTCATTCGAACTATTCGTAGACTGCTACTGCAGTTCGTCTAGAGCCTTGTGAGGCTTCTCTTAGATGCACATTAAACGCACAAATTCGACGAGTAGTTCTAGTCCTTCAATCCCCATCACCCACATTTGTCCAGAGCGCAAGGAGGGGAAGGGAGGAGCCCGGGGTGAACGGGATGTCGATCTTATGCTAAAAGAAACACGTAGTATCCTCTCACTGGAGGACCTGTAGCCAGTTAGTGGTTGTTCAGTGTGTTACTCCTCTTCTTCTTCTCCCTCTCCGAGAAGCTATTACCATTTTTACCATAAGAATAGCAAAAATACAAGTCACGTACAATTTGCTGTGAGCAATAAGAAGATCGTTTCTAGTCGCCTCGTTTGGCTTCACTATTGTTTCGTCAGTTACCAGTTTCCATTCTGAAAACAATGCGATAACAAGGAGTTTATACAACTGCCTATTCGGAAAATTCCATCTACTTCATGTGATCTAATATAACTGAAACATGATTGAAGATTCAGTGCATAGCCGCGTATAGAGAGAATAGAAAGAGGAATATCGGTTACTTGCGCGTGAAGTGGACGCCCATTCAAATCGAGTGGCGAATGTCCCTTCCCACAGTCCCTACTCATTCAATAGAAACCGACTGGGATCCCTCGTCCTAATCTAGTTTCAACATGATACCGTGCAACGAGGCTTCTAACCTTATTCCTTTTGACAAGTTGCTGGAATTGTCGATGCATTCCTTTGTTGGTCCTTCTTTTCTTGTTTCCCAAGGAATCTTCCAAAGAACTTTGGACAACTCACGCCAAAAGCACGAGGGACAGTGTTGGGCCGACGCGGATGGAGCGTAGTAAGGGCCTTAAAACTCAGATGGCTTAGCTGACGCGCACACTCAAAGGTCTACGAGTTCTCGCGGCGTTGTAGAAGCTGTGAAGGCTGCACCATTCGCGCCGGGACGCACATGTTGCACACAGGCAGATTACTGTGGCCAGCTGTACGCAACGGCACACACGTTTGGATAGCAGTTCGTATGCCCCTCCCATGCAACTTTCTCGCCACATTCTCGTCCAGTCTCTGATTTAACTACTTTTTCAGGTTCTATATTACTCTGGATACATCGAATATTGCGTGTTCCCCACCACACTATTCTGAACTATCGCTTTGTCCATTATTCGTGGGACTTTAAGGTCTTACTCTGTTGGTTTGGGTAAAGAAGCTCCAAAAACTAGAAACCTTGAGAATATCAACTGCCAAACACGGTCACAACTATTTATTGGGTTGTCCGAAAAGTTCCCGCCGATTTTCGATACCCCGGACTTATCAACTGTTGCACAGAAGATCATGGACCCAACCCCATAAAGTTGTATGTTTTCTGGAAGAGTAGGCCCTCCTCTATATTCCTATTGAGATCCTGTCAACATTTGTCAAAGTT